AGCTTTGGGCAACCAAAGTTGTTACACAGAGTAGAGGGAGAAACTACCTCTAGCTTCCAAAGCTATATGCTAGCGGTTCTCAACCTGTGGGTCGCAACCCCTTTGGGGGGTCAAACGACCCTTTCACAGGGGTCGCCTAAGACTATGGGAAAACACATTATTTCCGATGGTCTTAGGAACCGAGACACCTCTCCTCTATCCATCTCCAGGCGGGTCCGCCCACATGCAATATGCCCACATACAACAGGAGGAACTGTATTAAAGGGTCGCGGCATCAGGAAGGTTGAGAACCACTGCATAAGCAAACCTACCTTTTGTTTTGGAAGATACTATTTCTAGCCCTGGCCAGGTGGCTCAGTTGGTTGGACCATTGTCCTGTACACCAGAAGATTGTAGGTTTGATTCCAGGTCAGGGCACATACCTAGGTTGCGGGTTCAATCCCCAGTCAGGGCGAATATGGGAGGCAACTGATTAATGTTTCTCTCTCACATCAACATTTCTCTCTCTCTAAAAATCTCTAAAAGGCTCCTCTGCTCCCTCACCCCCACCTCCCCAGGACTGCCTGGTGCCCAATGCTGGCTACATCTCCTGTTTTGAAAAACCTACCTCGGGTCTGGCTGGTGTGGCTCAGTAGTTGAGCGTCGACCCATGCTCCAAGAGGTCGCTGGTTCAATTCCCGGTCAGGGCACATGCCCAGGTTGTGGGCCCCATCCCCAGTGGGGGGCATGCGGAAGGCGGCCAATCAATGTTCTCTTTCATCGATGTTTCTATCTCTCTATCCCTCTCCTTCCTCTCTCTCTCTAGTATCAATAAAGAAAAAAATAATAAAATAAAAAGAAAAACCTACCTCAGCCTATCTATCTACAGTGAGAAGCTGGCTCAGATCATCCTTCTAGAACTATCCTGCCCAAGCCTGACTTGCAAAACCAGGCTCAGATCTTGGGGTCCCAACTGCTGAGGAAACCAAACCCACCAGAACACGATGGTGTGAGAGGCACTGGGCACATCCCCCCTTGAATAACACCCAGATGCCTCGAGCCCATCACAGTGTGCATGATGATGGCACATGAACTGAGTGGTTTTCTTCAGGCTCCAAGGCATCCAGTTTCTTGCAAGAAACCTCCGTGGCTGCTCAAGAAGTCGTGCCCCTCCCCTAGGGCATAGTCTCCAGTGCCCAGAGTGGGAACCCACCCTCCCCGGGCTCTGGGTGGAGCATGAGGAGGCAGCTGGGGAAGCAAGGGAGACAGCAGGGCATAAAGGGCTCCTGCAGGTGAGCGAGTGAGTATATGTAAGAGACGAGAATAGAAACACACTAGGAGGGGGAGATGAAAGCATTCGTGGTACATTCTTTCTAAAAACAAAGTACAAAAGTAGAATAAAGACAATGAAGAGCAAAAAGAAAAGAAAATGTTTTGGGTGTCCAGTTTGGATCATAGAAGGGTTTCCCTTGAGTAAATCACCACCTTGTGGCAATGAATGTGACTTGCAGGAGAAAGAATAAGGTTTGGTTTTTCCAACCTTTAGACTCCAAAACAAAGTAGTAACCCTTAAAGTCAGAAGTTTTTGCATTAAACAAAGCAAAACTAACAACAACAACAAAAGGATCTCCCTTAGGGCAGGTCTAATAAAAACAGATGTCATTGAAAAATACATCTTACTTTTGGGCGAAGCAATCAAATCACTGACCCATATCATAAAGTATCTCAATTTCATTAAATTGAGATGTAAAAAGCTGGGTGACCCAAGATGATCCATTTGGGGGGAAAACTGAAGAGGTTCTGTATTGTCTAAACTGTACACTTTTGAAAGTCAAAGGGATTTCTATTAATAATTGCACAGGACACCCGAGAGGTGTAGCTCAGTGGTTGAGTGTCAACCCATGTACCAAGAGGTCACCGGTTTGATTCCCAGTCAGGGCACATGCCCTGGTTGTGGGCCATATCCCCAGTGGGGGGCATGCAGGAGGTGGCCAGTCAATGTTCTCTCTCATTAATGTTTCCATCTCTTTCTCCCTCTCCCTTCCTCTCTCTCTCTAAAATCAATAAAGAAAAAAATAAATTGCATAGGACAACAGGTGTAAAATTAGGGTTTCAGGCAAATTAAGGACACACAGCTCCCCTAAATTTGTTTCTGTGGTTTAGTCTGGCAAAGATGTGGCCACATTTTATAGTAGAGACCCAACCCTTTCAAAAAGAATAAAATGTTTCTAACTTTCAGTGTGCTGGCAGGAGGAGCTCAGTATCTGGTTTGAATTTTATTTGGGGAACTAAGTTCAAAGGGAGACTTCAAACCATTCAGGAGCTTGCGTAACCACCACCTTGTGGGAACAAAACTTGCATCCAGCAGACCCACTTTGCAATGCTGTGTCTTACAGACATCACCGTATGGATGTGCCACAGTTTTATTATTCATTGACCCATTGAAGGACACCTTAATTACTTCCAGTTTGGGGTGATTATGAATAAAGCTTCTATAAACATTTACACAGAGATTGTTGTATATACATAAATTTTCAGATCAACTGGCTAAAGATGTAGGAGTATGACTGCTGGATCATATGGTAAGACTGCTAAGTTGCCCTCCAAAGTGGCTGTTCCATTTTGCATTCCTACCAGCAATAAATGAGAGTGCCTACTGCTTTGTACCTTTACCAGCATTTAACATTGTCAGTTTTGGGGGTAGTAGACATTCTAATAGGTGTGTAGGAGTATCTCATTATTGTTTAAATTTGTAAATCCCTAAGACAAATGAGATTGAGCATCTTTTTCATTTGTTTACTTTATATCTGTATATTTTCTTTGGTGAAGTATGTGTGTTCAGATCTTTTAACCATTTTTAAATTGGGCTATTTGTTTTCTTACTGTTGAGTTTTGTATATTTTGGCTGGAAGTCTTTTATCAGATATGTGTTTTGCAAATATTTGCTCCCAGTCTGTGGCTTGTCTTTTCATTCTCTTAAGTCTTTTGCAGAGCACAAGTTTTTAATTTTAAAGAAGTCCAACTTATAAGTTTTTTTTCTTTCATGGATCACACTTTTGGTGTTGTGTCTAAAAGTCTGACAAACTCAAGGACCAATTAGATTTTCTCCTAGAACTTTATACTTTGGCATTTTACATTTATGCCTAGATTGTTTTTGAGTTAATTTTTGTGAAAGGTGTAAGGTCTGTGTCCAGATTCTTTTTTTTTTTTTTTTTTGCAAATGGATGTCCAATTATTCCAGTACAATATTTTGAAAATACTTTACTTTTTTCATTGACTTTCCTTTGTCCCTCTGTCAAAAATGAGTTAACTACATTGGTATAGGTCTATTTTTGGACTCTATTCTGTTCCATTGATCTATGTATCTATTCTTTCACTAATGTCATGTTGTCTTGCTTATTGTAGCTTTATAGCAAGTCTTGAGGTCCGGTAGTGTGAGTTTTCCAATGGTGATATCCTCTTCAGTATCACGTAGGCTATTCTGCATCTCTTAACTTTTCATATAAACTCTAGAATCAGTTTGTTGATTTCCACAGAACAGCTTGCTGAGATTTTGACTGAAATTGTGTTTAATCTATAATCACAATGGGAAGAATTGACATCTTAACAATATTGATTCTTCCTATCCACTTACTTAAATGTTTGGTTTCTTTCATCAGTTAGTGTTGATTTGTAGTTTAATTCTGTTGTGAGCTCAGAACATACTCTGTATTATTTTTATACTTTTAAATTTGCTAAAGTATGCTTTATGACCTAGAATGTGGTCTCACTTGGTGAATGTTCCATGTGACTTGAGAAGAATCTGTATTCTGCTGTTGTTGGATGAAGTATTGTTCATTATCGGCCTGCTGGATCTATTCATCACTTAAAAAAGTGGTGTGCAGTCTTCCATTATAAGAGTAAGTTTACCTATTTTTCCTTGTAGTTCTTTCAGGGTTTTGCCCCATGTATTTTGATGCTCTGTTAAGTGCATACACATTAAGTATTGTTATGTCTTCTTGGAAACTGACACTTTAATATTATGTAATGCCTTCTCTTTATCCCTGATACATTTTCTGCTTTGCCTGAATTAATGTAGCTATTCCAACGTTTTTTTTCATTAGTGTTAGAATGGCATAGCTTTCTCCACCCCCTTACTTTTAACTTATCTATGTCTTTATATTTAAAGTGGATTTCTTACAGACAACACACAATTGAGACTAGTTTTTTAACCACTGACAATCTCTGTCTTTTAATTTGTGTAGACTATTCACACCAGGAGTGATGCAGGAACTCAGGGGCGCAACTGTGTAATACCTAGGTGCACCGGATTTCTGCTTGGTGGGTCCAAATACCCCAGATACTGACAAACACTTCAGGCAACGAGAGCGTTCCTTCAGTTCAATTCTGAAAGCAGGGGGTGGGACTCCCACCTGCCAATCCGCAGGGTCTAGAATGGGCGTGGCTTACATGCACGCATGTCTATTACCTGGCTGACTTTGTTTGGGACTGTGTTGCCATGACGACGGTGGTTGGGTCGCTGGAGACTGGGTTGGAAATTCTCACTGCACGTTGAAGACTGTGTACCTGTCAGAGATCGTTCTCGGTGGTTCAGTTTCCCAGGGATACACCTAATAGTAGGAATAACAATGTTTTGTGGCCCTTTTTTAGCCCGAATTCTTCGGCTGGTGCTCCAATGCCGTCGCCTGGCTCCGGGACTCTGGCCTCTGCGTGGGCCCCTCAGTGGGCTCCCGGTCTAGGAAGGGCTTCATTAATCCGCAGTAAACGCTCCCTCCCTCCCCCCACAAGCCAGGAGCCCCGCGGTCTGCAGGTTCCGCCTCCACTGTGGCGTGTGCATGTTGCATCAGTGCATTTATTTGCTGCTATTTATATATTTACCTCACAGGGAGCGAGTAGGGGGTCGCGGGGGGGGGGGGGGGGCTGGCTTTGTCTAAAGTAGGCTTGCAACCTGTGCGCAGTTTGTCTCAGCTGCGGAGGGGGCGGGCCCAAGCCAGCAGTAACAGGGCTTCTGTCTTTGCAGAGCCATGGGCAGCAAGAAGAAGGAGATTGCCCTGCAGGTAAGCCTCAAGGGGCGCTTACTTCAGCACTTGGTTGGAGTTGCAGTGATTCTCAACCTTCCTAATGCTGCGACACTTAAATACAGTTCCTCATGTTGTGGTGACTCCCAACCATAAAATTATTTTTGTTGCTACTTCATAACTGTAATTTTGCTACTGTTGTGTCTTAGGCGACCCCCGTGAAAGGGTCGTTCAACTCCCAAAGGGGTCGTGACCCACAGGTTGAGAACCGCTGATAGAGGATGAGGAGGATGGTGTGGAGCAGGAAGTGCAGTATGAGTGACCCTCTGCTTGCCAGCAGTATATGACATTGTTCTCAATCATGAATATAGATCTCAGACTCCTAGTGATGACAATTTTTTGTGCACTTAAATGCAAACAAACATAACATTGGGTTTAAGCTCTTTATGCTTATAGTGCTCATGCAGCCTTGAAACCCTAACATGAATTAAAATAAAACTACAAAACCAAGAAAATATTGATTAATACAATTTAATTTTTTTTTTTTTTTGCTGCAAGAATATGATATAGATTCTTTCGAGTTTGGACATGCCTCTGTAACTGTGTGTTCTCCAGAGAACCAGTTCTCCCACGACTGATCTATGCAATCATTTGCTTATTCAACAAGTATGTTTTGATATTTTATGTGCTGTGCATTTGTTTTATAAAGTGCTTCACTTTATCTGCGCCTAGGACAAGTGAATCCATAAGCCAGTGTCTGCTCTTTTCTCCTGGTCCTGGACAATAAGTCGTGGGTGATTCTAAGGTGATGGCAAAACATGCAGGCAGGGGCCATGGAATTGCGAGGGAGTGATTTGCTATAGGAGAGCATCTGGATGATCTCTAATATGGGTACATTTTAAAGCAAACTTTAAAGTGTCTCAGAGTCAGCTCTGCCCATCAAGATAAATGCTCAGGCTACAGGCACCCCCTGGAGATGAGAGAGGCAGGGTCTTGAGACACATGATTTCACTTTAATTGTTCTCAGTGACACGAGCGCTTTGCATGTGAATTTCAAAAGCCTAGGGATTTATAAAAAGGAAGAAGCAGCTCTGGCCTGTTTGGCCCAGTGGTTAGAGCATGGGCCCACGGACCAAAGAGTCACGGTTCGATTCCAGTCAAGGGCATGAACCTGGGTTGCAGGTTCAATCCCCAGCCCCCGCAGGGTCATACGGGAGGCAGCCAATCCATGTGTCTCTCTCACATTGATGTCTCTCTCTCTCCCTTCCTTCCTCTCACTCTATCTTATAAAAAATGAAAAAAAGGAGAAAGCAGTGTCAGTCTAAGGATATTACCCAGGATGGGATAAGGAGGAAGGGAACAACTTTGGACTAGAAGCCTGAAGACTTGATGTAGTTCTTGACTCTTCTCTTAGCCAACTCTGGAACTTTGGCTAAAGCACATAACTGCCTATCTGTAGAATGAGGATGTTGAGGGAATTATCCCTTCAGACCTTCCAACCTTAATGTTCTAGTAGTCTGAGGTTATGAAACTTGCTATCGGTGTATATTCTATCTGTAAATAAAATCTAAGCACCTGGTCCTAGCACTTAGTGCTGTGCAAATGATTTCCTCGACTTCTCTGTGCCTGTATATCTTTTATGTAAATGGGAGGGATAGTCCTATTTACATAAAAGATATACTGCAGAGAGTTGTTGTGACAAAACTCTCTTTAGACACTTACAGGCTGGTCTTAATGCTGTCCGTGATGGTTCTAAGATTTTTGCCTCATTTGATTATCTTTTCATGTGTCTCTCCCTTCCATCCCCTTTGGGGCTAATAACATTTTTGAGCCATTTTTTTTCATGTGTTTCCCAGCTCTTGAGTTGAATGCAGTACTCAAAGTAAGTGTTCCATCTGCTGAGGGAGGAGGAAGGGGGGTGGGCACTGAGGCCTGTGCCAGTGCTGCCTCTGTACCAGGCCAACTCCTGGAAAGCAATGCATCAGGGCTGCCAACCCAGGAGCCCTGTTCTCTTGGGTACCACTATTTAGAGTTCCTTCTGTGACGGAGACAGAATGACAAGACACCAGAGATAATGTAGTCAAAAGGTGCCACACGTTCCCCATTTGTTCCCTACCAAATGTAGGGCTGACTGGAGCCTGGATCCTCCCCATATCTTCTGCTACTGCCCTGCTCCTAGGAAGGAGATTCCTCAACAGTCAAAGGGTCCTGGCCTCACTGCTGGTGTGGCTCACTCCACCACAGGGGTGCTCCACAGACAGCTGCCACTGACTGACAGCTGAGCATCGGAAAGTACCTGTTATGAGAGAGAGGGTGGGGATGAGGGCGGGGGCTCTCCTGAACCCTTCTATCACTTTCCTCAGGACTACAGTTGTGGGTCCAGCATGACATCAGCCCAACTTTCTTGCCTCATATAAGGCATCAAGAAGACTTTTCTTTAAAAAAAAAAAAATCAAAACAAAAAAGTATGAAAACATCATTTCTTCAGAAAGATGGAGCTTTAATAGAGGATTTGCAGATATTACATGTTTCCAGCTCTTTTAAAGGGACAAAGACCTTAGTATACCTGTATTAAGAATAAGTGGTAATTGTCATGGGTTTTTAATTTATATAGTTTCAAAATAGCTCCCTACAAAAACACTTACTAATTACAAAGGGTAAGGGAATTATTTTACTGTGTAGGAGCCCGACAGACTACCTTAATCAAGTGACCAAAGAGAACATCAGCAATAATGAGGCAGGTGGAAATTGTATGTCACCTGATTGGATGCCATGAAAAGAACACTCTTCTGCTTCTCTAACACAACAACCAGTTTCAACCAGTTCCAACTAATTCCAACCAGTTCCAACCAATTCCAACCAATCCAACCATCTCCAACCAATCCAACCAGCTCCAACCAATTCCAACCAATCCTACCATCTCCAACCAATTCCAAACAATCCAACCAGCTCCAACTAATTCCAACCAGCTCCCCCAAACCAAAGATCTACAGTCTGACTATAATCAAGAGGAAACACCAGATACACCCAAACTGAGGAACATCCTACAAAATAACCAGTATGCAGTCTTCAAAAGTGTTAAGGTCATGCAAATCAAAGACTAAAGAACTATTCCAGACTGAAGGAGACAAAAGAGACCAACAAATCTGGCACATGATTTTGATTAGAGATTTTGCTATCAGGACTTTATTGGGAGGATCAGTAAAACTTGAATGGAGTCTAATGATTAGAGAGTAATGATATATGTGTTTATTTTCTGATTTTGATGGTTGTATTGTGGTTATGTAGGATAATACATTCAGGAATAATGAGATATCAGGTTGGTAATTTACTTTCAAATAATTCAAGAAGAAAAGTTCTTTATATTATACTTGCAAATTTTCTTTACATTTAAAATTATTCCAAAATAAAAATATTATACAAAAATGTACACTATTTAATTTTTGGTGTAAACCAGAATACTTTGTAGATAAGAGTAAAATGTGAAGAAAGGGCAATATATTCTGTACCACTTTATTATTATTTTTTTTATCCTCACCCGAGGACATTTTTCCATTTTTTGTTCAGATAGAGCGGGAGGGAGAGAGAGAGAGAGAAACATCGATGTGAAGGGACACATCGAGTGGCTGCCACCCGCACGACCAACCAGGGCCGGGGACAAACTGCAACCGAAGTACATGCCCTTAGCGGGAACCGAACCCGGGTCTCTCTGTACCGCAGGCCGACGCTCTAACCTCTGCGCCAAACCGGCCAGGGCAAAAGGGCAATATATTCAACTGCTGATTATTTCTGATGTGGGTGTTCAAATATATTTAAGAAACGATGTGCAAAACATATACGCCAGCTCCAGCCAATCCAACTAATTTCAATCAAGTGCTGAGAAAATTAAGGAAGATTTAATAAATGATGAGAAACATCATGTTCATGGACTGGAAGACTCAAGGTTGTTAATATTTTCATTGTTTTCTAAATTGATCCATAGAATTAATGCAATCTCAATTACAATCTCTGCAGGAGTTTTTGTAGAAATTGCCAACCTGGTTCTAAAATGTTTATGGAAATGCAAAGGACCCAGAATAGCCAATATAATCTTGAAAAAGAAAAACATATGGAGGCCTCACACGACCTGATTCCAAGACTTATTATAAAGCTACAGTAATCAGGATATTGTGGTACTGGCATAACAATAGACAAATAAGTCAATGAAACAAAATGGACTCCAAAATAAATGCATACTTATGCAGTCAACTGTTTTTCAACAAAGGTGCCAAAGCAATATAGTGAGGAAATAAATCTTCTCAGCAAATTTTGTAGAAACTACTTTACGCCTACATGGAAAAAAATTAACCACAATCCATCCCTTGCAATATACACAGAAATTAATTTCAGATGGACCACAGACTTAAATGTGAAAGCTTAAATTATAAAGCTTTTAAAAGAAAACAGGAGAGCCTCTTTGTGACTCCGAGGAAAGATTTTTTTAAGAAGAACATAGAAAGCACTAACCATAAAACTAAAATTTTATAAATTAGACTTCATCAATATTAAAAACTTCTGTTCAACAAAAGACACTGTTAAGGAAATGAATAGGGAAACCACAGACTTCGAGAAAATATTTGCAATACTTCTATCTGACGAAGAACTTGTACCTAAAATATATTAAGAAACCCTCCATAATCTAAAAAAAAGGCCAACAATCCAACAAAGAAAATGGACAGACCAATGGGCACTTCTCAAAGAAGATATACAAATGGCTAATTAGTACATTAAATAGTGTTCAACACTATTAGTCATCAGGGAAATTTAATGAAAGCCACAATGAGATACCACTACATTACTGTTGCTGTGGCTACAACTAAAAAGCCCATGTCACCAGATTTTGGTGTGAATAGGGAGCATCTGGAACTCTTAACCTTTGCTGACAGAAGTCTCCAGTGGTACAACCACTTTAGGCAAAGCACTGGAAGTTTCTTAGTAAATTGAACATACATTTGCCCCATGTTCTAGCTGTTCCACACCTCGGTATTTACTTACCAAAGAGAAAGGAAACCATGAACACAATAAGATTTAACAAGAATGTTCCTAAGTCTTTATTTATAATAGCCCAAACTGGAAGTAACCTAGTATCTATCAAGCAAATTGTGATATAATCATACGATGGAATATGCTCAGGAATAAAAATGAACAAGCTACCGACACAGCCGCACCAAGGAATCCCCAACATATGCCGACGAAAGAGAATAATGTATGAGTATTACTTCATTTATACGAAGTTTGAGAATAGGCAGAACAAATCTATCGTAACAGAAGGAAATCAGTGCTTACCTGGGGTGGGAGTGGGGAGTGGCTGGGAGACGAAGATGTTCTGCACTGTGATGGGGCTGGTTACACAGGTGAATGCATTTGCCCAAGCTCATTGAACTGCCACACTTTAGTTCTGTGTATTTCACTGCACATAATTTATATCTCAATAAAATGTATAAGAAGACAAAGAAGAAAAGCAAATGAGTACCTCTCTGTACATAAATATAGATACATGTCAAAACTTAATGTTGAGTGAAAACATTGCAATGGGTATCTATAGTATGCTACTATTTATTTACATCTACAGGCACAAAACACTTTTTAAATATTGTTTTTAGATAAGTAACTAATAAAAATTTTCTTTAAGATGCCCAAGATTTTCTTAGGACAGTGGTCATCCTTGGAGAAGAAGGCAGGAAGAGAGGGAAGGAGAAAAGGAGATTGGGGAGACAGGACACCTTGAGTCGTATTTGTGTGAGAGAGAGAGGGAGACAGAGAGAGAGAATGAGTGAATCTGGAGCAAATATAGCAAAGTGTCTCCTCATCTGTGTCCTCAGTAACACAGTATTTGTTCCTCTTTGATGTTAGGTCAATATCAGCACCCAGGAGCTTTGGGAGGAAATGCTCAGTTCCAAAGGACTAACTGGTAATTTAAGTTCATTGTTGAGATCCATCCTTTTCAAAATTGCTAAATGACAGACTTCCCATGAAGAGAAAGGCGGCAATGACCCCCAGTTTCCTATAACCTTGAGTTTCATGAATGAAGAACCAGGTGATTTCTCTGTATGTATAGATCTGGCCTGGACGTCTGTTGGTGAGTTCTATTCAGGAAACCAGTCAGTGCTGTCGGGTAACAGGCCTCCTGGTCAGTGCAGGCAGAAGAGAGGTTCCCTCACACCCAAACCTGGCACACCCCACAGACTGGGACCAAAGAAGACCATGGTATCCAAGTTTCCACCTAGGTGTCTATCAGATTCACTTTCCAGGAGAACAGAGCTGACTTTATAAAGTAAAACAAACTCTATTTTATTCGAAGAAAGTCACTTGCAATTCAAGGGAAAAGGTCAAAACTTATTATCAAAGTAGCTAAGAATTGATTGTATGCTAACAGGTCACCTACAGTGACTTCTTCCTTTTAGAATAGAGGGTTTCAGTCCAATTTAAATATTCATTGAGGGCCACTCTGGGCTAGGTCTGACCCTGAGTGTAGCCTGAAAATTCCTTATGGTCAAGGTCCGTGTTAAGTAAATGATTTTCCACCCTACTTACCTTGTTATGTTTAGAATTCAGAACACGGGGTTGCTAAGAGTGAGGGATAGTTGTGTTCCCATGCCTGCTCATGCCCTGATGGGATAACAAATCCCTATAACCATTAATATCCTGCAAGCAGACATCCATCTGAGGGAGGCAGACTGTGCAGGTATAAATTTTGCCTGACATGGTGGACGCTGGTGCTCACCGAACTCTCCCGCTTCTCGGTTCCGAGCAGTTGTCGATGTCTATCAAGGCTGGTGTGGCCCCTGCAAACCCGTGGTGAGCCTCTTCCAGAAGATGAGGATCGAGGTTGGCCTGGACCTTCTGCACTTCGCCCTGGTAAGGTCCTCTCTCAGAAGAATGTCATACAACACTGTAAGAAAGTAATCATTTAAAAACAGGAACAGAAAGTGTGAGCTCCCTTTTCAGATCACTGAGAAGGCATCGCTGTGGATTTATCAGTCATGATGCTTCACAGTTTCTCTGGGGGGAAGACTCGCCCTGCCCCCTGACAGTCACTGGATCGGACGCCTCTGCTCCACCGGTAGCTCCCTCTTGGCTCCCCAACACTGGAACCCTGAGGTTTCACTTTCAGAGTGCAGGGTTTCACGATTTCAAGTCTCTGCTCCATAAAGGGGAACTTTCAGCAGACATTTACTTGAATTAAAGTATGGAAATGGGAATAGATTCTAGAACTTGTTTGAGTGTGCGAGAGACACTCCATAGGTTTGAGGGTCACACTGAACACAGGAGATAATGTGCTTTATGCTCCTCTCTCAAGCTCAGCCTCAGGGGCTTTGCGCCTCCTCCCTCGATTGGGTGTCAGTTTGGACGCTTCTGCAGGGTGTGCCGAGGAAATGCCGGAGGGAACTGCCGTGTCCACCAGGGTTTCTCAGACCTGACAGCAGCCGGAGGACCTTCTGCCTCTGAGGCTGCCCGGTGTGGCAGCAGCAGGATTTAGACAGTGAGCGACCTTGTGCTGGAGGAGTCGCTGGGTGGGGAGCAGGAGAAACCATTGTTTTCTCCTCACTGTATTCCTCAAAAAAGTGTATAGCCAACAATTTTTGCCAATATGTTTATAGGACAGTTATGATTCTGATAAAAAAAACAAAAACCATAGGAGAAGAACGGAAGTGAGTCAGGGCTTCACCTGGGGAGGGCAGTCACAGTGTGTGGTGAGTGTGTGTGATGTGTGGTGTGTAGTGTGTGTGGGGGAGTATTTGTGTGTGTGAGTGTTTGATATGTGGTGTGGTGTGTGAGATGTGTGTGTGATGTATGTGGTGTGTATATGTGATGTGTGGTGTGTGTATGTGATGTGTGGTGTGTGTGTGAGATGTGTATGTGATGTATGTGGTATGTGTATGTGATGTGTGGTGTGGTGTTTGTGTGTGTGTGAGATGTGAGTGTGTGACGTGGTGTGGTATGTGTGTGAATGTGTGATATGTGGTGTAGTGTGTGTGTGTGATGTGTGGTGTGTGTGTGAATGTGTGATATGTGGTGTAGTGTGTGTGTGTGATGTGTGGTGTGTGTGTGAATGTGTGATATGTGGTGTAGTATGTGTGTGTGTGATGTGTGGTGTGGTATGTGTGTGTGTGATGTGTGGTGTGAGTGTGAATGTGTGATATGTGGTGTGTGTGTGTGTGTGTGTGAGACATGGTGTGGTGTGTATAAGTGGTGAAGGTGTGATATGTGGTGTGTGTGTGAATGTGTGACATGTGGTATGGTGTGTGTGTGGTATGTGTGTGGATTGTCCCGTGTGGCTCTCCCTCCATCCTGCCCCTGTACCCACTGGTCCTGTGACAGCTTGTTTTCTTTAGGCAGAGGCAGACTGTCTTGATGTCCTGGAAAAATACCGCGGGAGGTGTGAGCCGACCTTTCTGTTTTATGCGGTAAGTACACTTTTAGAACCAGGACTGTTTGGTGGTTGCCGATCATTCGAGTTCAGATAGACAGTCTCACTGGCATGAATTCTTGCTGGGAGTCACCCAGGGCCACACTGATCCAAACACGGGATGTGGCTTTCTTCTTGACTGCCTTGACTATTTCAGCTGAGGACAGGGTCCTAAAGTCTGGTGAGGTGGCCCCAGGGCATGCTCACTGGCCCTGCAGGGAGGGTGGATGACAGCACTTGCCTCACGCTGAGCTGGGCGGCCTTCCTGACAGCTGCACTGGGGACAGACAGGAGTCCCGAAAATGCTCCTTCAGGCGCATGACCACTCTTGACTGAGGTTTCACCCTCGGAGCAGTTTTCAGCTTTCTACCCTCTGCTCCACGGAGGGGAACTTACGCAAACACGAGTATCCTGTACAGGGACAAGCTCTGCGCGCATCCGAAAACGTGAAGGTCATTTACAGAAAGCCAGGTGTTCAGTGTTTAGAAGATAACTGGAATGTCTTTGGGTGTGACATCCACGTTCCACACCCTTTGGCCACTGTCACCTGCCAGGCCCTGAAGGCAACGGCTTGACACCTTCCTTCTGACCCAGCCCATCTCCTTCATCACACATCGGGGAAATTGGGGTCTACCCCAGGCCTCCTGGTAGCCAGGCAGGGTTGTTGAGTTTGGAAACCTTTGGGCCCCTGTCCTCAGCACTGCAAATGTTACAGATCGGGAGCTTATGATGAAACGTATTTGAGCCTTGAGTTTTAGTAGGGAGACTGAAGTTATATGATGAAACATGGTTTGGGTGGGAGGGAGAAGTGGGAGGAGCTGAGATGAAGGTGACCCCAGCCAGACTGACATGGGCCCATTCGCAGAAAAGGGATCATTACCACAGTGGGCTGCTTGCTTGAGCCCAGAGTGATTAAAGCATCATCATAATTGCCCTGGCCGGGTTTGCTCAGTGGTTAGAGCATCGGCCCACGGACCAAGGAATCTCGGGTTCCATTCCTGTCAAGGGCACATACTTAGTTGCGATTTAGTCCCTGGACTGATTGGGGTCCTGCAGGAGACAACAAATCGATGTGTCTCTCTGACATCAATGTTTCTCCTCCCTCCCCCCCTTCCACTCTATCTGAAGATAAATGGAAAAGTATCCTCAGGTGAGGATTAAAAAAAAAAAAGCATCATCATAGTTGACTGTGTTGGGACATGTGCCCAGCTGGAGGGCAATATCACAAGCTCTCACCCTGGGGTGGTCCGCTGAGGGGTGGGTGGAAATGGAGTAGAACCCGCTCCACGTGAGTTCTTTCGTGAGTCATACGCATAGAGACTCAGAACAAGTGAAAGCAGGAAACTCAGGCTGACCCAAGACACCCCCTCCACTGTGACGTGTCCCCTGACCACCCAGATCAAATTGGGAACTGAGTCATGCCCCGAATTTCAAGCGTCCTGTACATCCCGTTAGAGCAACAATCTCATTCTATTGTAATTGTCTGTTTGACGATTCTGCCCCCACTCGGCTCCCCACTCACCGAGGGTACAACTGTCTTTTCATGTTTACTGTTCATGGTCTTTGCCTTGGTCTCGGTGCTTGGCAGAGTAAGGGCTTAATGATGTTTGTTGAGTGGACGAGCCATGTATAGGCAACTCACATCCTAGTGCGCCCCGTCCTTCCCTTCGCTACCTCCCCACTGCCCTGAAGGAAGCTCGGGCAGGAGGGGCCTGGGGGGAAGGCGGAGAAGCGGATGGAAGCTGTGGGCCTGGGGTCGATGGCCCTTGACCTTGTCGGTGTCACACTCCTAAACAAAGCGCTCGGATGCTCTCGCTGACTCTCAAAGAAGAAGGTTTCATGTGGTTTGAGCAGCACACGTGTCCTGTTCCAGGGGGGACAACTGGTGGCTGTGGTTAGAGGAGCAAACGCCCCGCTGTTGCAGAAAACGATCCTGGACCAGCTGGAGGCTGAGAGGAAGGTGCTGGCTGAAGGCAGAGAACGGAACGTGGTAAGGAGGCCGCTTCTCAAGCAGCAAGCTCACAGGCGTGCTCGGGGCCTACCATTCCTTCCCCTCCCCTCCACTCCCGGACCTGTCAGCTGGAAGGGTCATTAGATGCCACCCCAGTCCTCGGGGAGAGTTCAGGGGACAGTGCAATGCCCACTATGGTGTGTGCTATTTGAAGCCTTCTTTTAAAAAGCCATCCCCTTCATTCAGAATGCTTTCACTTCCTTCGTCCATTCCCCTTTCTCCCCCCACGTCAACCTTCCTGCGTTTCTGGATCACGGACAAGGAATTCAGAAGCGGGTAGGCGGAGCCCAGCCTGGGGGTGGAATCTGTCTTGGTGACTTGCCACCCTCACCTCACATTCCTGCAAGTTTGACTTGTGATCCCAGAGGCCTCATGTCTTGACTTTAGAAATTAAGCTCTTTCAGGACCATGAGAAATAGGCTCACAGCTTGTGGTTCCAATACATTATGTCCATGATAACACAGACTGAGTTTTTCATAAATAATTGACTGCCTTTGAAAAACAGCACACCTTCGGTAGAGAGAAGTATTTCCTGGTGCTCTGAGCCTCTGCCCGAGGAGACTTAATGTTCAATGTTTATTGTTCAAGTTCTTACAGTCAATTCCAAATGGCAAAGCCCTGTTTTTGTAGAATGGATTAGAATCAAATCATACTTTCTTGCCCAGGAAACTTGGCAATTTTCCCCCAAGAAAGCTGGTCACACATGCTGGGGCCTCCCCCAGGGAGAACGGGCTCTTCCGTACCACTTCCCTGTACTGTGCAATCAGTCGCCTAATACTTACTTGCATTTCAAGTTTCCTTTTGTTCTTGCCTACTCTGTGTGTGCACCCGATGCTGTGGAAACAGGCAGATTCCAAGCCTGAAGATCAGCACAGCTTCCTTGTCCTCAAACCCCGTCACCATCGCCCGACTGCTGAAAAAGATCCGTGGTTTCCCAGACCAAGCCTCTTGACCCCCTTTGGGGCTCTGTATTTTGAACCTTTACTTGTGTGGTTTCTGCAGGTTCTTGAAGGCTTTGTGGTAATTTTAATGAGCTGACTATCTCTGTTCATGACCAATTTGAATTAGATTGAAGATGAAGCCCTTTCCGGGGAAGATGAATGTTTTCCCCACGAAAAGGACGATGGTGAAGATGAGGACATGGGTGAGTGCAGAACAGAGAACAACGCCGAAGGCAAGGCAGGCTCCGATTTGATGTGTGTGTTTTGTTTTTTTAATCCTCACCTGAGGGTATTTTTCCATTGATTTTTTTAGATAGAGTGGGAAGGAGGGAGAGAGAGAGAGAAAAACACCACTGTGAGAGAGACACATCGAATGGTTGCCTCCTGCACGATTCTGACCGGGGCCTGGGATGGAACCTACAACCAAGGTACATGCCCTTGACTGGGATTTGAACCCGAGACTCTTTGGTTCGAAGGCCAATGCTCTAATCACTGAGCCAGATCAGCCAGGGCCCGATTTCATGTGTTTTTCAAGCATATACAAGTAGTCTGTTTATTGAGCAGTCTGAACTCTGGGAAGATGTGAAATGTTTTGTCTCCTGTTGCCTGGCTGCACCATCATGTCAGACCTCCCTTCTGTCCTCTAATGGCGTCTTGGGTACTTCTCACAGCTTTCTGATCATGTCCAAGTATAACAAGTGGCTTTCATGGCAATTACCGGACCTCAGGAAAAGCTCCATTTAATAAGATGAAGGATACTGACTCTAATATTGTCAAGTAATGATGTGTTTCCTTGGTCCTTATTTGAACTGAAGAGCTCAGGTTTTTTTTTTTACCTTTTTTTCCGGAAGTATCGGAAAGTCGGCTGTACTGAGCAGCTTCCCTCCCCACAGCCCTGCACCCGCCACCCTTACCCCTCGAGCACCAGCTCACTGTCCCACGCTGCGGGGCACAGCAGGCCTCCCTGACCCTCCACTCTGAGGTTAGCAAGGCTGCGGCTGGGAGGAAGGGAAGGTCACCGAGACACCAGGGGACGCCAGGACTGAGTTCAGGGAAGAGAAGGAAGATTCTGGTAATTGCGTGAAGTAGAAAGGCTGTGTATTTGTGTGTGGGTAATGACGACTGCTTGAGTTGGGTTCTAACAAGGAGAGAGGCCCAGTTTAGGAGAGCAAGAAAGTTCAAGTGTGAAAGGAAAATCATCCAGTTGGCTACCATAGGGAACGTTGGTTGCCTCCTCTTTGGATTATCTCCTGTGTCTGCCTCCCCCATTATTTCCTCCCAAATCAAGTCTCTCCACTTAGAAAACAACGCGAAACCCACCCCGGCCCTCAGCCTTCCTCTTCCCACACTGAGCTTCCCGACCCTTGTCCACACTCCTCGGCCACCCCACCTGCTGCTGCCGCCTGACCTGCTGATCTGGCCTCCGTGTCCGCTCCTCACCAGGGCACCACTGACCTTTTCTGTGCCAAATCCAAGAGACGGTTTCTGGTCACATCCTACAGCACCTTTCTGCAGACTTGGATGACACTCACAACGTCTTCCTTCCCCAAACCCCCTTCTCTCTCCGTTTCTGAGACCTTTCTTGTTTTCCTGTTACGTCTCTGGCCTCTCCTCAGCCTCCACTTCACTGGCTTCATTTCTTTTGCTCCCGTTTCGAGCCGGAGTTCTCCAGGCCTCTGCTCGGCCCATTCTCGCTCACCGCACACTCTAAGCTGACCTCACTCACTGGTCACTTTATAAGGACATTTATCGCAAGAGTCCCTTCAAGTCTCAGTGCTCATAAGACGTTGTAAATAGTACTCACAGAAACATGAATAGAGTTGCTGCTTAAAATAATCCACACCTTTGCAGTACATGTTTTTAAGATTCTCAGATACTGTCAAGTTTCATTGCAACACAACTGATGTAAAAGTTGAGAACAGAAACTAGTCTAGAGGGCTATAGTCTGTGCAGAGTGGAGGTCATTCCCCAAGGCCAAGTTCATACAAACAGGCCTGACAGGGATGGATTCATGGACACAGGGCTCCCTACAGCTCCTGAGGCCTGAGCGTGGACTATGATCATGTGGCATCTCCCTCAGCGCCACAGCTAATTGGACCTAGGGACACTGACTAGTCAGTAGACAGGTCAGTGAACTATGGCTGGTGCCAAAGAACAAGCTGGCCAATTTGGACTTCTCTCTGGAGAATTTGAACTGAGACAGGGAAGTGGAGTTGCAGCTAGGTCACGTGTGCTGGCGCTGAGAAGTCATGTAGACTCGGGGCCTAGGGCAGCCCTCCTTGGCCACATGCCAGGAGAGTTAAACAGACGCATTGGCAAAGGAGCCACAGAGTGAGAGGAGAGAGCAGTAGTCAGCAGTTGGAGGTCAGGAATCATGACAGGGCGACAGGAAGGAGCAGGAGTAGCCAGGCCTGCATTGTTTCTGCTTGGGCGTCCCACACCCCCTCTGCAGGCCTACTCTTTCAGCTGTTTCTGGGTTTTCGTTCCTGGGTAGTCTTTGATCTCCCCCCACCCCTCCCCTCGTCCGCCACGCCCTCCCCCTCAGGGTTGTGTCCCTGGAGGCTGAGGTCTGGGGCCAGACCTGTGCTCTCACTAGAGTCCAGGTCTGCAGAGGCACAGCCAGGGGCCAGGCGGGGGAGCCCTGGGAACCCTGTGCAGAGACTGTGTGGTCCCTGCAGAAGGCCTCCTGAGAGCCTCAACGATGGGCGCTGCGAGCCCAGCATCTGACAGCACCATCCTTGGCTCATTACAGTTTCATCAGAGAAGACTTGTACCTTGGCGATCATTAAGCCAGATGCCGTGGCCCATGGGAAGACCGAAGAGATCATCATGAAGGTAAGAGAGACGACGCTTACCCCAGAGACCGTGCTCATGTCTTCTCTGGTAGAAAAACGGGTAGGGCATCGTGTAGCAGTGTTCTTCCTGGTGGGAAAAGAAAGCTTTTCCGGAGCTTTAACCAAAGTTCTGTTTAAGTAAATTAAACATGTTAAATCTAATCGGGAAAGATATGATGAAGATGAGGGTTTCCACTGCTTTTAATGTTGCCTTTTCCGTTGTCTTTCACTTCCCAACACATTTAGATGTGAATTTGGGCTTGATTTGCACTTTCAGAATATGTGTATATATATATTCTGCAGATCCAGGAGGCGGGGTTTGACATTTTAACAAGTGAAGAGAGGACCATGACAGAGGCAGAAATGCGACTGTTCTACCAACACAGAGCTGGAGAGGTCGGCTCGTCCGCTGCCGCGTGTCCCACCACTCTCGTTTCTCTCTTTGGAGTATGTTTATAGGTTGCGATTAGTTTGGGAGAAAGAGGAGTATTATGAAGAACAGGAAGATGATCGGTATGATTACAGGCTGTGTCAGGTGGAAGTTGTTTGGTTGCAAGGAAGAACTTTTGATTCTACCTTAGTAATGAAATAAGGGATTTATTGTAGTGATACTCCATAACTCCCAGAATTGAAGGAAGAGGCGAACAAGGGTTGGGGACAAGAACCAAGACATTGTAGGAAATGTCAGGAGCAAAGTCTCATGGACAGTCACTTTAGTGTTGCCCTTGGAGAACTCAGGTTCAGCCGCTCTTCGTTTGCACCTGCCTGACTCGTGTACTTGAGGGAGGGTCTGGTTGGCCTGCCTTGGGTCACAGTCCCAAGGTGTATGTGTACGGGAGACATGGGGGTGTGGATAGACATATGGTTATCAGTCAGACTAGGGCCCAGTGATGGGCGAAGGGCTGTTTCCCAAAGGAGAACCAGAGAGCTGTTACTTGAAGAAGAGGGAAGGATTGCAAGATACTGCAAAACGAAAGAATGAATGCATACATAAATAAATAAAAATGTCTTAACTACACCCCACTCCTTGGTTATCCAGCATCCACATGATTTCCATATATGTGGTCTTTTCAATGCCCCTAATCTATTAGGGTTTCATGTCCAACCCCAAAATGAGTCAACTCAAAGTCTCATTTTCCTGCCTTTAGCTTATACCTGGTTTCTCTGGGTGTGGTGAGTGGGGCATCACCACCACCCCTCTCAGGGCCTTTGGCCTGCATGCCGGCAGGTGGCAAAGCTGCTCACTAACCCCTCCCAACCTGTGGGTGGGATGGGCCCAGCTGACCTCTGCAGGCCCAGGGTCCCTGCCCTGGGTCCCTGTTTTCCCTCCCCATTCCAGGAGGCATTTGAGAAGCTGGTACATCACATGTGCAGTGGACCGAGCCACCTCCTGATCCTCACCAGGACCGAGGACACCGAGGACGTTTTTGCCGCCTGGCGAACCCTCATGGGACCCTGTGACCCTAATGTGGCAAGGAGGGAGCAGCCTGACAGGTGATATTATTGGCTGGGGTCCTTTCATCCATTTCAGAACCTGTATCCAAGGAAGCTGGGAGCCCTGCCTGATGCTCAGCCCAGAATCGTGGGGAACACAGAGGGCTCTCTGATGGCCACAAATCCCTTCTTTGTTATATATTTGGGGAGACACTAACATCCTCATCCTCTGATCCAGCCCCCAGTCATTTGCCCAGTGCCTCCTGTGATCTGCCTCCTCTGCCCTCTTCTGAAGCTGCTGCTGGACCTAGTCCTTGCTCGTCTCTCTGCAGCCAGAGGGTCCCATAGTGTGGTCCCAGGACCGCCTGCAACACTCACACAGGAATTAGATTCCAGGATCCCACCCAGGCCTGCCTAGTCAGACACTCTGGGTGGGGCCTAGGAATATGCATTTCCGACAACCCCACGTCACCCTACTCCCCACCTGGGTGTCCTGAGTGTAAGCTCCCTGTTCTGCATACTGTGCTAGGCTGCCTTGGTCTGCTCCTTGCCCTATGCATTTCTAGCCTGGCACTACCAATGTCAAATCCACTGTGTCTTTCCTTTGAAGCTGAGAGAGGGCCAGGCAACAGGAAAGAAATCAGCAAAAGAAGCTCAGTAACCGAGGCTGTACCTGTAGTTGTAGGGCCAGGAACATTCATATAGGAGGCAGCCTGGGCGAGTGAAAGACAGCCCAGTGCTCAGACCTTAGGTTACCACATACTCAGGCAAGTCCCTTCTCTGAGCCTCAGTCCTCTTGTCTGCAAAATGGGGATATGAGCATCTATCATGGGAGGCCACAGAGCGTCATGGTTGAGAAAGATTTCAGAATCTCTCTTCTTCTTACTGTGTGACCTTGAGCCATGCTTTAATCTGTGCCTCAATTTCCTCATCTGAAAAATGTGTACTAATAATGAGACCTGCTCTGATGTTGATGTGAGGATTGAGTACCACTTAGGACAGTGCTTGACACAAGGAAAGTCCTAGCAATATTAGTATCATCTAATGGGATTAGCTCTGCATTCCTACATGAAGCGCTCGGCAGGGTGCCAGCCCCTGGTTGTAGTATCAATAAAATGGCAGCTCTTGGGCTTACACCATGACTCATACCATTTTTATTTTTTTATTTTTTCTTTATTGATTTTAGAGAAGAGGAAGGGAGAGGGAGAGAGAGAGAGAAACATCGATGAGAGAGAACATAGATTGGCCACCTCCTGCATGCCCCTCACTGGGGACTGGGCTCACAACCTGGGCATGTGCCCTGACTGGGAATCGAACCAGCAACCTCCTGGTGCATGGGTTGATGCTCAACCACTGAGCCATACCGGCTGGGCGACTCACATCATTTGTAAACCGGGACTCATGACAAAGCCTCCCTCCCAGGGCTGTGGCACAAATGAAATGAGAGCACGCGTGTGAAACACCTGGCCGTGTGCCGGAATGCTGCCGGACGGGGTAGGTGTCTGCTGCCCTCGCCCTGGCTGTTGTTTTTGGCATTTCCAACAAAGAGAAAGCCATTTCCCAGAATTGTAGAGTGCTCAGTGGTAGCTGGTGACCATGTTGCCGGAGAGCAAAACATTTCAAATGAAACAATGTGTCTTGCACATTTTGCCAATGCCCCCAGCCTCCGCGCTCAGTACGGCACGGAGATGCCCTTCAACGCGGTCCACGGAAGCCGGGATGGCGAGGACGCCGGCCGAGAACTGGCTTTGCTCTTCCCCAGTTTTAAGTTTTCAGACAAAGTTCCGGAAGCCTCCCTGGGTAAGTCATCGAGGCAAGTTTGGTCTTGATTAAATCTTCAATGAATATGTGGGGGGATGGGTAATAACTGTGGTAACTAAATCTCAATCTGATCAGGTCCTCTTCAGAAAGCAGGAGCCATTAGTAACTGCAGCAGCGGTCCTGATCTGTATATATTTTCGGAGAGTAACAGCGCTGTTTTAAGTTTCAGTGCATTTTTTTGTGCTGCGTCCTTACTTTGGAACCCCTGGGGAAATGTGACTTTCTGGATGCCTACATCAAAGCCCGTCGGGCCAGGTGTCATTCCCTCACTTCCTTTGTGCTTGCAGGCCCCATGCCGAGCCCCTGGTGGGACCCTGAGCAGAGGGTTACACCCTCATACCCCTCAGCCCCCACGTTTTGGGGAAAGCGTGCTGGGTCATCACCTTCGAACCTGGGTGAGAAACCCGAGTCCAGAGTGCACGTGACTTACCCCACCCACCAGTGGCACAGCCAGGCCTGGCCCTGTTCCTGCTGCCAGGTGCTTCCTGGTTTGACCCTGTGGTGAGGCAGAAGGGGCGGGGCGAATGTCCTGGGAAAGCAAAGGGGGAATCCTTGGGAGAAGGCTGCAATGATCTGAAATGGTAGGAACCTGCGTGTGCCCCAATGTTTGGATTTTAGCCAATATATTTACCTAAATGTTTGATATGTTGGTGGTTTTCTTAAGATCTGAATCCAGCCAAGTAAGAATAGGTGTTCTGAGGGCAAGGTAAGGTGGGACAGGTGCTGTCCCTCGTCTAGTCCTTGCCACTGCCACAAGCTGAGGGTAGTGGATTTGAGGGAGTTGAGGAATCACGGGAAGTACCAAGTTCACACATCCACGTTCATGCTGTGGTTCCTCAAAGCCATGGCCCTGCTGGGAGCAGCTCTCACTCTGGGGAGGGTGGCACTGCCAGGGCCAGCTTCCCTCTGGGCACCTGCCCTCGGAGACCCCACAGTGCATTTCCTTATGTACCCAGGGTCATGGGACATGTTCATCCTCTTCGGAGGGGTGATTAGAGTCAAGTAGGTCTAACTCAGGTCCAAGACAGGGATAAGGAGAGTGGTTGACTGGGAATACTCATCAAGGCTATTGGGGAGCGTGTTGGGAGATCATGAGGCTGACTTTCGGGCCTCAGGTGATAGCACCGGGGACAATTCCGGAAGGGTCTGCGCCTAGATCATACCCCAGGAACAAGTGCACAGCCTCCTGCGGTGTGACTTTGCAGCAGCCTCACAGCGTACTGACATTCTGCCCGCTTGTTGGATGTGTGGAGCCTTCTCAGTTGCCAGGGACAGTGTGCCTTCAACTTACCCAGCACTTTTTCTGCTAAGGGGCAGGACCAAGGACACTGGGGACAAGCATTCTTCGGTTTGAGTCCTGGTTCCACTCTTTACCAGCTGAATGGCCTCTAGAAGTGATTTACCTTTTTTGAGCCTCAGTTTCCTCACGTGTGAAATGGAGATAATGACAGACCCATGATAGCCCCATAATACCTCTGTAATAATGATCTTCCTCCCAGGGCCGCCGTGAAGACGAGAAGGAGGCAAAGGCTGTCACTCTTAGCCTGGCGCCCAGCGCGTATTAAGTGCTTGACAAATGTTACTCATTCTCTAATCCCGTAACTCCTAGTCCCTAACACACATACCAGGACCTCTCTTTGCTGTCCCTTCCACCCTGACACCTGACTTTGTTGTATGTAGTCAGATCCCCTTTTCCTGTTTCTTTGTGGATGGTTCAGGGAAGAGAGGACTGGGTGGGACAGGGCTTGTTTCAGAAACCCTACAGAGCATCTGTTGTCCCACAGACCACGAGGAAGAGTGAGCGGTGGGCCCGCCAAGGTGCTTCCCTTCCGAGGATGGGGACTGAGATGGTGCGCAGCACGTGACCCAGTGCCGAGGCCAACAAGTGACACGTCAGTGTGTTCGGATCTTACTCTTTTGAGCACCGACACTTGTTCAGTTTAGTTATCTTTCACGAATAACTGCCTTATTAAACAGTATACAGAACATGTACTCTCCTTTTTGGCTACTTCTGGGATTTTACAAAATAAGTGGACATCAGTTATTGTACTCTGCTGTCACCCCAGGGGACAGTGAGTTACACAGGACAGTGTTTCTCCAATAATAAATCTACTTTATGGATTAAACAATTTTAGAGCTTAACTTGGCAACCATATGAACTTGAAAACCGTGCAGCAGGATTGGATGTAACACTTCCAGGCACACTGACTTGGAGACAGACAGATCAAGATTGGCTTTGAATCCTCACGCTGCCCATCCACGCCACGAGTACCGTCCGTGACGCTGCCAGGTCTGCCATCCGGGTCCTTAGTAAATCAGCATGTGCTCATGAACAACGCTTGGGGTTATATTGGAACCAGGGTTCATCTAAATTTTCTTGACACTCCCTTCACCCATTTTGGGGGTTTCTGATTCTGCCTCCAGCTGTCACTAAATTGCCTGGTTTCGCTGTCCCTCCATGGCTGTGCCCTTGAGGGTTACCGGTGTTCAGTAAAAAGTAACTATTATCACCCCGTGAATATTAACATGCACAGCCACCCCCTCTTACCGGTTTGCTCTTTGGTTTGTTTGTAGATTCATCAAGCCCAGGCATAATCTTTCCTCTCTGAGTGAGCAAAAGGCCGTGTTCCTCTGCACCGTGAGGCCAGTGCCAGGGATTTCCTCTCATTTGCTGATTTTCTCCAGAGAGCTCCGTGCCTCTGGCTTGCGGTTCTTTAACAGGCAGTTAGCGCCCAGAAGGCCTCTCCTCACGGGTGCACTGCTCTCTCTGCCACCTAGAGCACACGGTGCCCTGTGCTGGCACTGGGGACGGGGGAGGAGTCAGCTGCATGAGAGCGGAGGTGGGGCCACCTCCTGATGGAAACACGCGTGCCCACTGTGCTCATCAGCACCGCACAGGCCCGTGGGACACCATGGAGTCCTCCCTGACAGGACATGTCAGGAAAGTTGAAGCCACTGTTCCAGACCCCCAGACCCCTAGCTCACTTTGTGCTCCTCCCTTTGTGAGTGGGCTCAAGAGGGGGACTCAGTTGCACTGTGCCCACCTCAGAGCTGGCAAATGCCCTGGAGAACCACTACAGCCCTAGGCCTGGTCTTCCACAGGTGTTGCGTGGCTCTGAATGGGCCGCTTGGGTGCCCTGGCTGACAGCTATCTGATCTCCCCAGAAGCTGGGAAGCCAAGATCTTCCATCACTGGAGAGATGAGACGAGAAATGGAGCAGGGGGAAGAGGAAGAGGAGAGACTGGAGCCTGGGTGGGGGATGGTGTGCTGGTGTCGGAGCATCTGAAGCCTTCCCAGGAAGTAGCTGGGAGCGGCGGGCGGGCGGGTGGGGAAAAGCAGGGGCACTAGGTGCCAGAGCCAGAGTGGGAGAAATGTCGACACACCCTTCCTTCCTTCATGTGGTCGGGCATTTTTCTCAGGAGGTTCATGGCAGAAGGAATGGAAGTGGTGGGGGTGGGGAGAGAAGGCTCCAGAGCGCAGCGGGGCTAAAATGTCAGCCGCTCTCTGAGGATGGAACTCCTTGGCAGAGACCCTGGCTGGGCCTGGCTGCCTCCCAGAAGAAAACCAGGGGCTGCTGGACGGCCGCTGTTTTGTAGCGTTAAAGCCTCTTAGCTCCCAGTATGAGTACCTGACAGGGTGGAGGGCAGCCCCAGCCCCATGAAGTCAAGGAGGGGGGCTCCTCTCTAAGGAAGGGCTCTGGTTCTCCAAGCAACGAGAGGGCAGACTGCCTGGCAGACAAGGTCAGGAGCCAGGGGCTGCAGACATTGAGGGGAAAAGAAGGGCAGGCAGCTCAACTAGGCCACACGTGGCCCTTCGGTGGTGGTGGTGGGGGTGTCCCTCAACTTCCTCTGAAGCCAGGTCGTGGACCAAAACTTCCCTCGTGCTGGGAACTGACATGTGACTCTTTGCCCAGCAATCAGGCAGTCAGCGCAAGGAGGCACGGCTGGGCCAACGCCAGCCTCTATCCTAGGTGGCAAGGGGTTGGGATTGCTCCCTGTAAGCTCTCCCTCGGGATCTGGGGTCAGTTCCCTTTCCACCCAGGCCTCTTTCTCAGGCCTCAATTCCATGTTTCCCCTGTGAGAGGGGAATTCCCTCCCTGCCAACCACACCATCCTCCTCCCACACGCTGGTTCAGGCGTCCAGGCGTCCTTGACGTTCTCTGTTTCTAGTGAGATCAAGAAGTAGGAGGTGCTTCTCTACATTTCAGAGATGGGACAAGAAGGCAGCACAGTGAGTGAAGTGCCCGTGGGTCCTTGCAGAGGGGCGGCAGCAGCTTGCGCACTGTGCAACCGGTCATTTGCTAGACTCTGGGCCCAAGTCCATGTGGCAGTGGAGGTGTGGCACACTAGGAAGAGGAGAGGACAGAGGGGGTGGACACAACCCTGGGGGGGCCCTGGTGGCTGGGAGGGGCCACCTGTAAAGGGTCTGCTAGCCTTCAGGAGGGCAGGAAGAGGGGGATCCCCAGACTGCTGCAGAGACCCCCCCCCCCAAGCTGTAGTGATCCTTGGGCACCAGCCACCCCCTCTGAAATGCAAAGTCACTTCCTGGTTTCTCATTGTCATTGTGATTCAACCAAGAATCACAGGTTGCAGAAACCAGTGCACATTATCTTCTGTTTCCTACTGTTCTAGACATTTGGAAAACAGACTCCTTTATAGATAGAAGTTGCCATGATGTTTCTTGGCTTTTATTAGCATGTGTTAAAATCATATTATCCAAACACTACCGAGAGAACATGTATTGTTCCGCATAAAGTGCTCAAGGAAAAAAATGCAACTTATTAAATTGGACATTCTTTTCTAGTTCATAATTTTGGGTTACAATCAGGGCACAAAAGGAGAAACAGAATGCAGTATTAGAGAGAGCGAGAAGCTTAGTTCAGAACTTGGGTGCAGACACAAGACCACGTCCCGTTCCTCCCACCACCTTGCCGACTGAACACTGCATCTGTGTAGAGCAGCAAACAGCTTTGTTTTAATAAATACATTTTCCTTCATTCAAATCAGAAAAGTTAATTCTACTAAAGCACTTTTTCTTTGATCATCTGTTTGTAGCCACAGGCAAGATTACCCACAGAGTTGAAGTGTGAAAGTATTATTTCATTGGGCCTTTGGCTTTCTAATGCTATCTGGGTTCAAGATTGTCTCAGCAATTCGTTATTGGTTTCTGTGTATTTACCTGGAACGTTTAAATACCAGCTCTATAGTGTTTTGAGTTACAAGTGCCAACCAAGGATGTCCTCTCACATTAGCACACTGACAGCTGCACAAAACCCAAGTGCCTGGTGGGACAGATTTGTAAATCAATAATGTTCTGAAAAAATAACGGCTTGGAAATCTCTGTGTTTGAATCTTGGGTGGTCATGTTGAGAACAGGAAAAATTGCATTAAATACATTTAAAAACATTCATTTGCAATCAAACATATTTGACTCCTCTTCCAAAGAAGGTACAGGGTGGTGACGGGGCGACTTCGACATGAGCGACCTCATTAGGAGTGGCCGGTGGACTTGGGTCCCCTCAGTGGCACATGCTCACGGCAAGCTTCTGGGCCGCAGACCTCGTGTCCTGGCCACAGTGCTTTTGACCTTCTTTTAACAAAGGGAAGGGAAGGCTGGCTCTGCCTTCGGTCAAAGCAGCCTCTGTCGAGTCCCCCGGAAGCTGACGAGCAGCCGGAGCAGGCCACGCCAAGGGCTGCAGGAGGGCTGAGCCGTATTCCCCGTGAAGAGCTCATCTTCACCCTCCTGGGGAGAGTGCCCGTCCTCCTCTCAAACGTCAGTGCTTCTGGCTTCTTGCAGGAAAAGATCTTAGCCGCATCTCTCACTAAAATTTCTATTTCATTTTACAAAAAGACACCCAATAGCAGTCCTGAGTGACTGGTATGGACTTTGCTGGGTATCACTAAGAGAAAAACAGCTTTCTAAATGATCCTGCCTTTTGCTTCTTCCCACAGCTGTAGAACATTCTCTAGTTTCACAGTGATGCATGCTGTTTTAGGAAGCACAAGGTGACTGGACTTTGTTTCCAGGAAGTGATGAGCTACTTCAGTTTGAGCACGAGGTTCTGACTGGCTCTAAATCCTGCCAGACTCTGCTACACCGAGGAGGGGACTGAGGGTGGCTGGGAGGCGCGGCACCCAGTTCCTGCCTAGGGCAGCCCATCAGACTTATGGCTAGGCTTTCACTATCAGTAGTAATATTTCCCTCTGATGTTCTAGAACACCTGTGGTGAATGTGTCCCTCACTCCACTCCAGCCCGCCCGCCCGTGGGAGCCCGAGCGCTCACCGCATTGGGCTGAGACCGACGCAGCAAGAGGCCGGCGTACCACTCTGTACGGTGCCACGAATCCTGCTGTCATTCAGGCCAACTACAGCTAACCTGTTCTTGTCTTTTTTTTTTTTCTTTTTTGTTCTTTTATAAAGAAAATCTATGTAAGTTGAGGTTCAGAAATGCATATATTTTTTTACTTACAAATATTCATCTGACCAAAATTCAACATAACCTTTATGGAACACTTAACAATTGTTTTGTTTTTAAAATAACATTTCATTCAAACTGTATATAATTCAGTAAAGTTATTTTATACAGCAAGCAATGCTTAAACCCTGGAAAATCTGTAGAAAAGAGATTTTCACACACAATAAGAGAAGAAAAATTTGAGGTATCCCCCCACACACATACATCCATCCTGATCCACATGCGCACGCGCGCGCACACACACACATACACACACACACACACACACATCTGTGTGTGCACAGACATGTTCATTCTCACTCACAAAGTGGCTGCAGCATAGGCAAAAAATTGTAGGTCCAAAGGAAAATGATTGATTGTTCTAATAAAGAGTCCAGGTAGCTCAGAAAAAACAAAACCAAAAACAAAACACCATAGTCCTCTGAGGAAATTACTACCTCAAAAATATGTTCTCAAGATGAATTTGAGATCTAAGCCTACCAAATTGCTTTTGCAAAACAGCTCCCTGCAGTCCAAGGTGACTTGTGCAAATAGAAGGAATCAAATGAGGCTAGTTCCTGTACTTCCTTTAACAAGGATGTGGGTGCTCGCAGATGCCAGGGCGCTCCCATCACGCCAGGTACTGTTGCAGTGCCGTCTTGGCCCTGAAATCACAAAGTTCCTGTTAGAAATGATCTCAGAAGAATAAATAAGAAAAAAACCCCAACAACCTGTGGCTTGAAGGTGGTAGTGGGAGAAGTTTAAAACGTTAGATTCCCCCAAGGGAACTGGGTGAGCCCAGCTGGGCACCTACTATAAGGGGCAGACATCTGCGGTCAGAAGACACGTCGAACCCAGGCTGGCTGCATTCCTCTCCCCGTGTTCTCTTAGCAAGGGCTGCTCTCGCCCTTACACCTGCTGCAGCCCAGTGAGTCTACAGTTTTCCTTTGTCACCGGCATAGCTGTCCCGGATCTGGAATTATGTTCTATTGCCATGCAGGTGTTAGCTAGTGTACAGGACACTGGGGAGGAAGGTTAGGGTTTGGGAAACTAAAATGGATCCAGGAAGGTGTTTAGGTGCTGATTAGAAGGTGCAGGGAAGGAGCCAAGAGCTCATGGGATGAGGCTGTGTCATGGTTCCAATGCCTCAAAACTGGTTATAACCTCATCTCCTTCTCCTGATGACAACGATCAATGTGAGATGCGTGTTTATTATGGTGACTGGGAAGAAGGTAACTAGCTGGAGAGGAAAAGATGTAATGTGGGCAGTGACTTGACTCTGTAAAGCTGTTTTCCTTTGAGCGAGGACTGAGGAGGCCTCCTTTACTGCTCCTGTTGTCTTAGTCAAGTTTCTAGACACTGCAACTGGGAGAATTAGGAAATATGGTTTTAGCAACTGTCTTCCCTTCCATGTTAATGGAGAAAAGGCTAACTTTTTTGGTTACTATTGGCTGATGCACCAAGTATACCAAGTAGACTGGGCATGCAATAATCTGGACTCAAGTGCAGTTTCTATATAGCAAAATAATAGATATGATCTAGTTCGGACAGCGGTATCTAAGGGATATTCTTGCAATTATCTAAGACTATCAAGATGACAGTTACAAAGAGAACCATCAGAACAGAAAGCTCTATACAGACTGTCTTCAAGTTATGAGTTGGGTTCTACAAGGAAATTTTCCTACAGAAACAAGTTTATGACTGATGCTATATGCTACCCGTGAATGACCAAAGACCTGAAGCCCTCGGGACCTGGGGTGGAGAGAGCCAGTGAGCAATAATTCACCTGTAAGCGTTTGGCAGTCAAAGGCCCACAAAGCCTTAATGACAGAAGGAACCTGAGACATGTCTTCTTTAGGTAATAGACTTTACTACATGACATGATGGGAATGTCCACGAGAGCAAATCCTGTTGGCTCTACCTTTCGATTAAGTCCTGAATCTGACCACTTCTCAGTACTTCTACCACTACCACCCTCATCTCTCATGCACATGACAACAGCCTTTACCTGGTCTCCCTGTTTCCTTTCCTGCCCTATTACAGACGATCCTCTACACAGCCAGAGTGAGCTTCTAAACATTCAAATCAGATAATGTCTCTTGCTCAAAACTCTCCATTGACTTCCTATTAACCTCTGGATAAAATCCAAAGTCCTCACTATTGATTTCAAGGCTCTTCGCTTGCTCCCCACACCTCCCTGCGCCCACTTCTCACTCTCCCCCTTGTTTCTGTTTCTCCAGTCCCAGTGCTCTGCCTGCTATCCTCGAACATGCCAAGCTCATTACTGCCGCAGGGCCTTGCACTCACTGTCCCTCTGCCTGGAACACTCTTCCTCTGCACATCTGCCTGGCAGACTCTCATTTCATCCGGCTCTTTGATCAAATGTCACATCTTCAGAGAGACCTTTATTGACTAATCTGTATGAAAAGAAATTTTCTTACTCTCCAGTCCCTCAACTTGCTTTTCATTCACAGTACATCTCATTGCCTGTATCATATTACACATTCGTTTGCTTATTGTCTGTCTTCTGTACCAGAATGTAGGTCCCATGAGGACAAGGTCTTCATTAATTTTATTCACCATTACATCACCAATGCCTAAAACAGTGCCTGGTAGGGGTTAGTATTAAAACACAAAACAACACTTGTAGCATAAGTGGGGATTCAGAGGAGAGGGGCTGAGATGGCAATCAAGATGGAACATGAAGTGGACACTGGAAGAGGGCGGGAGGGGGTGCGGGGCAGGAGGGAACACGGGCGATGAGAAGGGCAGGGCCACCAAGGGCTCCTGAGCCGTGTTCAAGAGCCTGGAGAATGAGAGAGTTGATGTTCTTTGCTGTTGTCACTGCCATGCACGGCAGTGAGCTGAAGAGTGACGGCGGGTGAGAAGGCAGTACTCGGAGAGGTTTGGAGCCAGTGTTTTATAAATGAATGCCTTCTATTTTTTTTTTTATCCTCACCCGAGGACATTTTTGCATTTATCTTCAGATAGAGCAGGAGGGAGAGAGTGGGGAAGAGAGAGAGAGAAACATGGATGTGAAAGAGACACATCGACTGGTTGCCACCAACACAACCCCAACAGGGACCAGGGACAAACTGCAACCGAGGTACATGCCCTTAGCGGACACCGAACCCGGGACTCTCTGGTCCGCAGGCCGACACTCTAACCACTTAGCAAACCGGCCAGGGCGAATGCCTTCTTTTCTACTTTCCAAAAGGCCACATGCATTTCTAGTCTACTGGTTAAGAGAATGTAAAGGAGTAGCCTCTGGATCCTCTCCAGATACCACTAAGATGGCCCAGGCTCATGTTAGTTCAGAGTGAGACGAGGATCTTTATTAAATTTCCTAATTATTAGTTTATCTCTTACTCAAATGTCACACAGTTGGTTCACAGCAAACGACAAAGGGAATCCAAGAATCTAAGAGATTTTATGTTAGCCATGTTAATAACTAAGACATTCAAATTCTTCATAAAAGAATCCAATGTACCCCAAAGCAAGGCCCTTTTGATACTCACTTGTCACAAAGGTTTGAATCTGGTGACTGACTCAGTTTGTGAAGAATATCTACAATGCCCATGTCTCGTAATTTATCCTGGCGTTCTTGTGAACCTAAGAGATTAAAGCTAATAGGTTACTGGGCACATGACCCAGGCATAGCTCTCCTTGGTGTATAATCCACAATGTAGAGGCTTACCAGTGTCCTTTACTCCCCACCCTGCCCACCCTTGGCCTCCACTATCTCTGCGTGGTTGGATCCCCTCCTGCTTGGACTTGCCAACCACGTTCTAATTGGTCTCTGCCTCTCCACCCTCCTTCCTGCAGTCCATCCTGAGTTCTGCTCCTCAATTAATTTCTCCATGGACTATCAGGTCCAGGCCAGCTTCTTTAGCCTGGCACAAGGTCCCCTGTCATCAGACCCCAGCATCATCACTTCTTTCTGGACACACCAAGCCTGGCTCTTCCTACCCCCAACAGGTCTTGTTCTCTTCCACCCTCCACTGACCTCCAAGTACTTCCTGCTGCATCTTGTTAGCATGTGGCAGTTCCAACTCCATACGGCTCTGGTCTACTTTCCAACTAGACTAGGACCTCCTGAGGGAAGCCTTGTTTCCTTGGCACTCAGATGGTACTTGGCCTCTAGGGCCTGTACACTGAACCCATTTTCTCCTCCTTCTACTTTGTTCTGGATATAGCTGCTGAGCAAGCCTCCTGGAGAGTTCCCTGCCCACTGAACAGCTACCTGATTCACTCATGTACTGATCCCGTCTAGACCCAGTGAGCCAGAATCTCTCCCCCCAACCCAGCACTGAGACCCAGTGCTCTCCCACATCTGGGGAGTTTTAAAAAACACCTATGCCTGGAGCCCACACCTACAGATTCTGATTTAATTGGTCAGGAGATTCTAATATATAGCCGAGGTGGAGAACCTCTGGTCAACAAAGACCTCCTGACGGACTGGCTACTTCACAGGCACTGTGCAGCTTTTCATTTCTCACTAGTACACCCTCTTCCCCATTAAGCTTCTTGCGAGTAACCCTTACATGCACTCCTCCGCACATAACGAAAGGTCCATCCTCCCACCCTCGCTCACCTCTAGCCTTTTCCAAGTGCATCTCACTATCCTATCCTCCTCCTCAGCTCTCTCAAAGGGCAGGGATGATCACTCACTTCTACAGTGCTGACTCCAAGGTGGGGGTTCAGTGTTAACTGTCCAGCTGACTCAGGCTAGTCCCGCGGTTTCTCAAGGCAATGCTCTTGGGTGTTTGGGGCCCAGGGGGCGGTGCCTTTACCTGAATCTCAGGGGCACCTAGTGCCTTCCCTGAATGAGACTTTCTTCCCATAATTTTCTTCAGACCAAATCGCACTGATCTCTTACCTTCCTCTTCATTCCATATGAGGTTTGATATACAAAACATAGCGGCAAGCTGCAGTTTGACATGTGAATGACCCTATTTGATGCAGAAAAGGAAAATAAAAATGGAGGTAATCTCATTTCAGATCATCTTTTCGTGATATACTATAAGCAATCCCAACAACCTAAAAGTTCGAAGCAGGGACTTCAAACTCAAATGTCCTGGGGGGCCACAAAGTTAGCACTATGGGTGAATGAACTGGACTGACGACGACAGGAAATGGTGGAGAATCTGGCAAACCGGGGAGGGAAGCCTTGCCAAGACATCACATTCAAATTGCAGACACCTTCTGGCTGGCCATACACAACGCCTCGAGGGCCTTGGGTGCCATCTGTAATGTACTGTTCAGTCCACACTGACCCACGGCAATCTGTGCTTTTGACTTAGCTATGCTCTATTTCTATTAGGAAACTTTCGGGTCACCAGCAGCCATCGGATGGATGTGCATTTGGTATTTATCTCTTCAGCTACTGATAATGTGATTCAAATTACTCATTTCTTTAGGAACATCGCCAAAAACTTGACTGAGTCTCAACTTCATTTATCTTGAATGTCTCCTCTTGTTAAGGAGCTTCCTATTCATCTGAAACACAATTCTATTTCTTTTTCTCTATGTACTGAAAGTACAGCAATTTGGATCATTTATCCTTTATGCTTTATCCAAAATGAAAGAGGACTCAATGGTTAAACAAGCATTCCAGGTAGTTTCCCTTCTGCTGTAAAAAAAAAAAAAAAAGTCCCTAGTACATTTAAATCATTTATGCATATCTGAGGAATACCAGTGGTATATGCTCAACGGTTTCTTAAAGGCTAGGACTTGTCTGATCATGTAGGACTATCTCTCAACTAAGCAGAGACAAAGAAATGGATGTGGCGTCCTCCATCAGAATTCTATGACTGGTGAATCTTTTTGCCTTCTACAAGCCAAGACTTTTAAAGAGATGTCTAGCTTGGACTTCATTAAGACAAACAAAACAAAACTTATCAATTGCTCCTAGCCTCTGGCCAGCAATTGATATTTGTTGAATAAATAAACTTGTATACAAACAATGAGCACTGACTATGTGTAAGAACATCATTCATTCAAATAAGTATGTTTTGAGAAACAAACTGCTGTGATAGAGAAAACTGGAAGGCGGAGGGGTAGGGACCTGATTTAGGTGGAATGCACAGAAGAGAGCTCTGTGAAGGAGGTGATAGTTAAGCAGGGACTTGAAGACACCTGTTGTGCAAAGAGGTCGAGGCCGGGAGTTCTGAGAGGAAGGGGAAGCTCTGGAGAAGGTCTGAGGTAAGGAGAGCTACATGGCTTGTGTGTACTGAGAAGGAAAAGTGAAGTAACTGGTTCAGAGAAGTGGGCATGACTGAACTGTGGGCCCTTGTAGGCCAGAGTAAGGGCTCTGATTTTATTCTGAGTTGATTGGAAGTTCCTGAAGGATTTCAGCAACAGCAGAGGGGCAAGATCTGATGTACATTTTCTGAAGATCACTTGGGCTGAGGGGCTGGAGTGACAGTGCAGAGGTGTCCAGGAGGCTATTAAATCAGTTACATGAGGTGCTGGGCTTGGCCTAGGACAAGGGCGGTGAAAGAAGAGCAGACAGATTGGATTAAGAGCTGGAAAAATCAAGATTTACTCCCAGATTTGAGCAGTGGGTGGATGGCAGAGGCACTCTATTGAGGTGGAAAAGCCCAGGAGAGGAGACATTTAGGTTTAGTTCATTTAAAGTTCACTTAAAAAAATCAACTTTGAGAGGCTTCTGGCAGCCACATGGAGACGCTGAGTAGTCAGGAGGATACACAAGTCAGAGATCACAAGAGAGAGTCTGGGCTGGAGGCCTGCACGTGGAAGCTATCAGCACAGACAGGATGGTGAAAGCCATGGGAGCGTATGAAATTCCCCTAAACCGGTGGCTCTCAACTCTGCTGTATACGAGAACCACCCGAGGAACTTAAAAACCTGATGCCCAGGCTATCCCCAGACACAGGGGATCAGAATCTCTGGAGGAAAGGACAAGGCAATGGCCTTTGAAAGCTCCCTCGGAGATTTCACTGTGGAACCAAGCTTGTGAACCTCTGACCTCAGGAGAGCATGCAGGGGAGAACAGAAAAAGGTCCAGGGCTAAGCAGGAAGTCTGGTGTCATGGAAGCCAAGAGGGAAGAATGCTTCTAGGAGGAGGAAACAGCCAGCGTGTCGAAGTCAGCAGTCACTGAGGTGAAAGAAATAAACTAGACTTTGAATCTGGCATCATCAAAGTCACTGGGGACCTTAACCAGAACAGTTAGAGTAAAGCGATGGGGATGGAGGTCATGAAGTGGGTTAAAGACTGAACTTGGAGGTGAGAAAGAAGACAGCATGTACACAAGATGCTTTAAAAAAAAAGAAAGAGACAGAAAGGGAGAGGGAGAGAGAGAAAATCATCCATCGATATGAGAGCAAAACGTCAATCTGCTGCCCCCTGCACACCACCTACAGGGGATTGAGTCCGAAACCCCAGCATGTGCCCTGACTGGGAATTGAACCAGTAATCTTTTGGTACATGAGATGATGCCCAACCAACTGAGCCACACCAGCCAGGGCACAAGATGCTTTTAAGAAGTCTGGGTTTGAATAGTTGCAGAGAAATAGGCATACTTTGACGGGTATGGGAAGTCAAGAGAATCTTTTTAAAATTTGTTTAAAAAAAATGTCCTTATTGATTTTAGTTTAGAGACAGAGGAAAGGAGATAGAAACATCAATGTGAGAGGGATACACTGATTGGCTGCCTCCTGCACACCCCCTACTGGGGATTGAGTCCGCAATCCAGGCATGTGCCCTGACCGGCCGGGCCCAATAAAATCTTTTAAAAGATTAGAAATATTATGTGGATCTGATACTAGGAAGATAAGGGTATTCCTGGTTAAAGCAGCAAGGTTTTCATTCAATAAATATTTACTGAGCACTTACTAAGCGCCAGACACTATATGAGACAATGCATAGATGATTGTGCACAAAACTGATATAGTCCTTGCCCTCAAGGCGCTTACACTCAGTAGGCACATAAACAAATATATATCACTGAGATTGAGCGAAGTGCTCTGAAGGGCACAGAATGCAGTAACAAAGAACAACCCACACAGATGAGAGCCCACAGGAAGCGTCTGCTGAGCTGAAATCTGAGGTGAGAAGGCAAGCCATGAAGGATTGGGGAGGAAAGTGTTCTGGGCAGAGGAGCCAGCATGTGTGAAGGTCCTGAGGCAGGAAAGAACATGCCTTTTTGAGAAACTGAAAGAGCTCACATAGTGAACAAAGGGAGGACGGGATTGTGATGAGTTCAGGAAAGAGAAGAATCAGGTCATGCAGGACTTCACAGACCATCATAGGAGAGGATGCATTTTATTCAAGGTGTACCAGGGAGCCACTAAAGGATTTTGGCTTCTTTTCTCTTAATAAAACAAAGTGAGGTCATCACTAAGAGTGATGAGGGGTAGAAGAGGTGAGGTTTAAAGAATGGAACCTATTCTTGTGGAGAATGAGGGTGCAACTTGTTGGAGAATCACAGGAGGGGACGAGGCAGTGCTGAGTGCCCATTTGGGTTCTGAGTGTGAATTCCACATGACACCAGTCAACCTGGTTCTGTGCCATTCTCTACAGTTGTCAGCTCTAACATGGCAGGCAAAGAACACAGGGTCACCCATGGTTAGGGTTTTGCTAGCAGACATCAATAGAGTGAAAAGAGGACAAATGTTTGATATCCACATTTTGGCAATACAGTTTCTCATAAGGTCCAGGGTACTGTCATGAGTTGGTGGCTGAAATGTTTGGAAGTAGGTGGCGGATTGTGTTTGAAAGTAAGTCAAAGAACATGTGCCACAGGGCTAGAGGGTCATCCACATAGGATTAAAGCCTTGAGGGAAGACAGGGATTGGGGTGAGCTGAGAGAAAGCTAAATGCCCAGGTCTTCACTGAATAAGAGGGAGGCAATCCGATGACAAGGGTGGGGAGTGGGGTGATGGGTGGCAGTACTGCCAAATGGCACAAGCTTCAAACTTGCCGTTGTTTCTTTCTTCAGCATGGAAGAGAGTTCCCTGAATCTCTTAGAAGTCCCTGACTCGAAAGGGCAGCTAGTGCAGAGCAGAGAAAGGAGACGAAGGCCTACCATGTAATACTTGATTTTCTGCAGGATGTCATCATTGGTCATAATGAGTTCTTTTGCCGTCGTCCCATCTGCGATGTTGGCTAGGATGCACAGTGTCTGAAAAGAACAAAGGGCCAGCGATCAGGAGCCCTCTGAAGGCTCCCGACTCGGCACTCCAAGAGCGTGAGCGCTTTTCCCCAGCAGATTCTCACAGGTTACACTCGGAATGACTGGCTTTCTCGCCCTGCCTCACACCAGCAAGAGCAACTAAGCCTAAGGAACCCAAACATGTCGGTGGTTTATTTTTGGGCATAAGCCACCACTGGGCAAAGGCAGGCATGCCTTATAGTTCATGCTGTCACATAAATGAAAGGGAAAACATAATTTAGTATTGTTTTCTTAAAAACTCCACTTCTAAGAGAAGTTCTTGTTACTTCCCCACAAGGTTTCCTCAAAGGGGTGGTCTCTTGGGTGGGCGCGTCAGAAGTATCACAAGTCCCTGCCTTCTCTCTCCAAATGCTACTTGCTCACAAGCACATGACCCTGTCCACAAGCCATGTGCAATGAGCACCTTTTTTTAAAAAATTAATTATTTTATTTTTGTTACAGATGTTTCTCCCTTTTCCCCCACTGACTCCTCCCTCTCCCTCCCTCCCCGCCCTGTCCCCAGCTCTGTTGTCCATGTCCATTGTTCATGCATATATGCATATAAGTTCTGTGGTTTATCTGTCCCCCACCACCCCCTCTTCTGGGGATTGTCAGTCTGTACCCCACTTCCACGTCTCTGGGACTACCCCATTCCTCAGACTGTTATGTTCATTATATTCCACAAATAAGTGAGATCATATGATACTTGTCTTTCTCTGTTTGGCTTGTTTCGTTTAGGATGATACTTTCCAGGTCCCTCCATGTTGTCTCAAAAGATAAGAGATCTTTCTTTCTTACAGCTGCATAGTATTCCATTGTGTATATGTACCACAGCTTTTTTATCCATTCGTCTACTGATGGACACCTGGGCTGTTTCCAGATCTTACCTATTGTAAATAGTGCTGCTACAAACATGGGGGTACATATATTCTTTCTGATTGGTGTTTCAGGCTTCTTAGGGTATATTCCTAGAAGTGGGATCACTGGGTTAAATGGAAGTTCAATTTTTAATTTTTTGAGGTAACACCATATTGTTTTTCATAGTGGCTGCACAGTCTGCATTCCCACCAGCAGTGTACTAGAGTCCCCTTTTCTCCACACCCTCGCCAACACTTGTTTGATGATATGTTGATGGTGGCCATTCTGACAGGTGTGAGGTGATACCTCATTGTTGTTTTGATTTGAATCTCTCTGATGATTAGTGATGTTGAGCATTTCTTCATATGTCTCTTGGCCATTTGTATGTCCTGTTTGGAGAGGTGAGCACCTTGACTTTTTAGACCCCCTCCCCACCTCTCATCACTATTTCAGTGATTCCTGACTGACTGCTTCTAGACTTGGTGTCACTGCCTCCAAGAAGCCTTCCCTGACTTGCAGTAAAGCAAGCACACTTACTGTATGCTCTCTCGGGTCTGTATTATCTCAGTCACACCACAGTGACATGTGATTGTGTTATGTCTTACTCCTGTCTTACCTTGATGCCTCCGCAGTGCACGCACATCACTGGTGCTATCAAGTCTGTTGAATTGCTACGGCAGGCACTGCATCAGTATCCCTGCCACAGTCCTTCCACCTGTACTCAACCCTGCCTCCTGCTGGTCTGGCTCTGAGCAGCCAACAGCTAACAAGGACAGTCTCCACTTCTGAGAGTGGCCGAATGTGGAGGCTGGAGGGAGCGGTGTCAGCTGGCAGGACACACATCTGTGGGCAATCACCACACTGGTACTAGAGGAAGAGACTCTCAGAGGCACTTAAATCATAACCAAGAGACTGTGATATGCTCCAGAGCGGGAGAGAGATGACCTGCGGGAGATGCTAGATTACAAAGTGATCTCGCACATGGTGAGCCTGTCAGAAGTCTTGGCAGGCACAACACCTTTGAATTTCTCAGTACAGATGAAGCAGTAAGGGGAATAAACAATTTTCTTCCCTTTTTATTATTGAAAATTATTAAATTCTGAAAAAGTTCAAATAGTACAACGAACACCTATCCATATACTATCCCCTAGATTCAACATCATAAACATTGCACCATATTCGTTCTAAGGAGTGTGGTGATACGTTATTATTGATTTTATTTAGAGAGAGAGGAAGAAAGAGAGAGAAACATCTATGTGAGAGTGATACATTGACTGGCTGCCTCCTGCACGCCCCCCACCAAGGATCGAGCCCGGCAGGCATGTGCCCTGACCAGGAATTGAACCAGCAACCTTTTGGTGCATGGGGCAACACCTGACTCACTGAGCCACACTGGCCAGGGCCAGGGGGAAGAAGTATTCAAGAGAGTTTAAAGGGTGATAGAAAATCTTTCTTGGTATAATCAGAAGATATTCCTCAAAAAAAGGGAACACAAACCTGTTCTTTGACTTCAATGTTATGCTCCCCTTCCAAAATAAGAGTGACGGCTTGCATAATCTGCTTTCCATGAGTGCTCATTATTTTATCTATATGCTGCAAAACAATGGAAAATCCACATTATCTAGGGAACAAAGAAAAAACCCATAGAAGGCTTCTAAATACACAACTACACTTCAAAGAGAACACCATAACGCATAGAATCAGATGCCAAAGAACAGTGTTTATTACACTATAAAGCTGCATTTTGCCTTCAATTTTTTTTTGTGATAATTTGAAGATGAAGATAGCATAGACTTGGCTTGCTGGAATATAGAATTACAATCACATGGGATCCTTAAGCCCAAATATATTAAAGAAAAAGGAGGCATATAAAAATGGATGAGGGATGCCTGGCCAGAGTGGCTCAGTGGTTGAGCATCGTCCCATGGACTGAGAGGTCCTGGTTTGATTCCCCATTGGGCACATGCCCGGGTTGTGGGCTTAGTTCCCCAGTAGGGGGCGTGAAGGAGGTGGCCAATCAATGTTTCAATTTCTCTCTCCTTCCTTTCTCTAAAAAAAAAACAATCAATAAAAATATATTTTAAAAAATGGGTGAGAGAGATGGGGGAAGCCAGAGATGTAGAAAATATGGTATAGATATACTTGCTATCTTGGGGCATAAATGTACAAAGACTAAAAAAACAAGTAATATATAAATAATAATACATAATAAATAATATATAAAATATAATTGTATATAATAAGAAAATTAGGCTCATAGATACAGAGACAGTTTGGTGGATGCCAGAGATGGGGGTAGAGGGTGGGGTGGGAGAATTGGGTGAACCAGTTTTTCTTTTTTTCTTTTAAATAAATTGAATAAAAACAACAAGTGAGCCTGGTTGGTGTGGCTCAGTGGTTGAGCACTGAGTCATGCACCAAGAGGTTGCCGGTTTGATTCCCAGTCAGGGCACATGCCCAGGTTGTGGGCCTGATCCCCAGTGGGGGGCATGCAGGAGGTGGCCAATCAATGTTCTTTCTCACTGATGTTTCTCTCTCTCTTCCTCTCTAAAAATCAATAAAGAAAAAATAAAAACAAACAAACAAAAATAACAAGTGAGGTAAAGGGAAGGGACCATTCATGGTTTTTCATCTACGGGAAGGGCCACTGACAGTGCTGCTCAGGGATCGTTAGATAACAGTGAGAGCGCTCCCCGCAAGGTTCAGCCTGCCCTGCGCTGACATATACCCACTGTCCCCACACTGACATCTTCAGAAGTCAGCCCAATAAATGTGGGCTGGGGTATATATGTCTATGGAGTGGCATTGAGGGGTATTCTCTAAAGTGAAAGAATCAGATGCCCCAGAGATAACTGATTAGGCCAGTAAGAAAACCCACCCTGGCCAGCAGACCAGGTAATAATAAAGTAACAAATTAAGACAGGTTCATATGCAGCAAGGAAGGAAGAGAGGGAGACTGGACAGGCAGCGCAGGAATGAACAGTCAGGAGGCTATACAGTGAAGCAGCTCCCACAACACCTATGAAGGTGACAGGTCTAGACATCGACTCATGGCTTCTCTGGGGAGGAGCAGTTTTTCAACCATACTTGTGGGTAGATGCTGATGGGAGAAGGTGGGGGGCAATATTTTACAATGTATATGCAGCGGTAGCTAATCTGAAAAACTGGGTGATTCTACTTACAGGCCGAGTAGAGAGGAGATTTCTAAGAAGTCCCAATGTCTTCATCAGCACATTCAAATCTGAATCTGATAACAACCGGAATAGCTGTTCAGTACTCAAGCTTCGTAAAATGTCTGCTTTTATTTTTTGTTCAGCCTGAAATGCCATATTCTGAAAGGGTTAAAGAAATTTCAAGAATCATGTCTACATTTGCTTTATTAAATTATATTTTAATACTAACTCTGATTATTTTCAAAGTACTCATAGAATCTGCAAAAAATCCTTAAGTAAAAAATCACATTATTTTTCTGATTCCTTTTAATTACCTATAATTCTGTCTGCCAAGAGAAAGATAACTTTACTTCTATATATGCTCCTTTGTTAGGAATATGACTACTTCATGACATAGGCATTTAAGTGTCTTAAGGATTTCTCAAATAAATACAAAACCATTATTACTTTTGGGAAAACCCTTATGGTTATCAAGTTGCCTTCTGTGTAGTTTAATAACAAAATGACTATTAATAACTATACTATGCCATGCATTTTTGAGAATGAATGAGAAGTACTTGCTTATTATGGATGAAAACAGTAGTGGGCTTTGTTAACTTCACTGGTATGAAACGCCTGTTGTGTTCACAATATTATGTAGGTGTTGATATGGCTAGGCTATATCACACAGGGAGCTCTCGAGGGGATAGGAGTTGTATCCAAGCAACCCACCAGAACCCCAGATGGCCAGTAGCTATTTTGCTCTTTTTCCTCCTTTCTGGACACATTATGGGCTATCTCAGCTTAACCTAAAGTTATAATAGTATGTCTGAAGGGAAAATATGGCAAATTCCAAATAAGTCATAAATCAACTTTGGGTACAAAAACTGACCTCCAGGAACTTATTTTTAATTAAGGAGTTAAGACATAGGAAAGATCAAGATAATTAATGATGCAAGGAGGCATGAAAGAGTAAAGAGAACTGGGCTGGATATCAAGAGATCCAGGCCAAGGTTAACACTAAGGTTTTATCTTGTGGAGAGAGAACACAGCAGCTGGTAATATGGAGACTGATGAAAATAAGATAGTTACTGGAATTTGAAGAGTGGGATGATAAATTCAATTTCAACACTAAAATTGTATGTGTCGGGGAGCCCTCAAATGTATAGTCCCATAGGCTAAGTGAGAGAACTGGGGAACTGGGGACAGCTACGTCTGGCTATGTATATTTCAAAGTAACCTCATCTCTTGCTGGGAGTTGAAATTATGGGACTAGATGAAGTCCCTGAAACTGAAGTGTAAAGGGAATTGGAAACTGAGAATTGAAACTTCAGGGAATGTCCCGAGAACGTTGTTGAAAAGGAGGCTAGGTAGAAAGTGAGGTAAAAAAGAAATAAGCCCTGAGAAGGAGTTTCAAGGAGAAATGTTAAAAGCTGGTGCAAAGATGAGAAAAATAATTGTGAAGCTACTGAATTCAGTACTTTCTTAGAAGACGATTATTTACATCCCCAAATTCATGGAAAAAGACAGCAGATATAGGATAGAACAGGGACAAGAGTATGGACCTGGGACAGGTTCAAACCCATTTCCATCACTGATTAGCTCTGAGGCCTTGGACAATTCACTTATCCTCCCTGTCCCATGTCCCAGCTGTAGGGTAAATACATATACCAGTATAAATTAAAATAAAAATCAGAGGTAAGTACAAAACACCTACCTAGTGTCTGTACATGGCAATTAAATTATAACTACTATAATTATATTTTTAAAAATCGATATAGAATTACTCTATTTTCAATTTCAATAAATTTTACCTTAATAAATCTTAAGGATAACTTGTTCTTGGGCTTCATAGTTATAGATTTTAAAAATTTAGGTTACTATAAATAATTTACTAAAAACGGTTCAAAAAATTTTAAGCATTTATACACCAATTCTGTTATCACGGATGTTATTTAATCACTCTCTGTGTTAGTTTACTCATCTGTAAAATATGAATACTCCCTAGCTTATTTCACAAAGTTGCTATAAAAAGCAAAGACACATACAAAAGAGTCATGAGGACATAGTCAATAATATTGTAATAACTAAGCATGAAACCAGGTGTATACCTGAAATATCGGGGGGATCACTTTGTAAAGTATATATGATTGTCTAATCATGATTCTATACACCTAAAACTAATAGAAAATAATATAGTATGTAAACTAATTGAAAAATAAAATTTAGAAAAGCAAAAAAGATACAAAAGTTTTTTGTAAAGTAGGTAGCGCTACACAGATACCAGTATGCTCATGATGAAGAAAATTTGTTTTCCAAAATTAGATAAGTCAAGTTTCAACATCTGTTCACTTTTCTTAATAAATAAATAGGAAAACAGAGGCACACAGTAACCAAGCGACTTGCTTATATTAGAATCTGAAAGCTGAATATGGAGTCTTCTAGGTCCTAGGTCATTAGAAAACTGGGCTAAAATAGCAAGGTTAAAAAAAAAAAAAAAAAAAAAGGAAAATTCCAGATGTTTCAAATACATTGTTTAGTTTTAACTTTGAAAACAGCTCTATTCTCTTTGTAAATGACGTACATAAAAGAGTGAAACATACCATGAGAGCCCAAATTCCATTCACTCGTAAAGCAGGGTTTTCACTTTGGGTTAATCCACAGAGCAGCTCCACGGCTCCTGATTCTAAAATTGGCTGCCATTGGAAAGGGAAAATGAACAAACATGGCTTTAAGTCAGGTTTGTGAACTAAATGTGTACAGACCCTGGCACTCTGCTTAGGATTTGGTTCTACTCTTCTCCAATTCCAAGCAACTTTCACAGAGCAGGCAGTGAAGTGGCCATAAACATCACCTTGAGAAGGGCAAGGACAATTAATCTCTCTCCAATCTAAAACTACAGATAATCCTGTTATTTCCTGTTTTTCTGGTAATGCTGAAAGACTCAGGAGATACCCTACAATCGGTACATTCCACACATACTCCTATGGCTCTGTTACCTAAGTCCCACACGCCCATTCTCACCACCCTGAGCCCAGCTCTCTTGCTGTGGAGGCATGGATCTCACTACCTCATGTGCTGTTTCCACGCTGTGACTATGAAGCAATAGGCTGATTTAGAATGGATAACTTCACTCTCCTCCTGAACTATCAATCTTATTCCAAACAGAATTCATCTTTTAGAACTCCTTTCAGGACTACTTCTCAATGATACAAGCAAAACAGTCTTGTACTTACAATCATACCATGTTTTAGACCCAAAATAGCATACTTTAGCCTGACCACTGAATTTATGATACTTAGCTGAAAATGGGTTTTGTTAATTTTATAAAAATTCAAATCCTAGAAGATTGATTTACCATCATCAACGAATGGTTAAAAGGCCATCTTTCAAGTGGATTCTAGAAATGTTTTAAGCAATTGAGACTTATATACCAAGAAATAGAGCAGGGCCTTTGATGATGACAGTTTTGAAGAAGGATACACACAGTCCTCTACTTGTACAAATTGGATTTTTGTTTTTTGTTTTTAACTTATTTTCAACTAAGTTCAAACTTATTAAGTAGAAAGATTAATTCATGAAACTTACATCTATTCTTTTCCCAAATTAACCAACTTTTAGCATTTTGCCTTATCATTTTTCTTAATTATTATTTTTTACTCTATACGCTCATATCTGCATTATTTATCTTTTATGAGCCATTTGGAAGTACTGTGTATATAGCATGCCCCTTTACCCTTACTACTTCAATGTATGTTTCTTAAGAACAAGAATATTTTCTTACCTAACCACAGAACAGTTACTAAATTCAGAGAAGTTAACTATTAAAACAGTATTTTTATCAAATCTCTAGTCCACATTCCAATTGTGTCACCTGGTCCAATAATGCTCTTATTACACTTCCTTACCTTCCAGTTCAAGAGCCAGTTTATTATTTATTGAAATATAGTTGACATACAACATTATATTAATTTCAGGTATAAAACATTATTCAATATAAATGTGCATTACATAATGATTATCACATTAAGTCTAATTAAAATGCATCATCACACATAGTTACAATTTTGTCCCTTGTGATGAGAATGTTTAAGATCTACTCTCTTAGCAACTCTCCAATATACAATTCAGTATTGCTAACTATAGTCCAGTTTATTTTTAATATGAAAAACCAATTGTATTAATGATGCCATGCCTGAGCTCATCTACCTTACTGCATATATAGATCTTAAACACTCTGAAGGCATCACAACAGCTATGCAGGATGATCACTGGTGTCACACTGGCTGCAAGCAGATCATTAGACCAAGATCCCAACCACCAGGGCAGAGGAGGACAGATGGAAGCTCTGGCATCTTATCTCGTCTTGTCTTCCTTCAGAATAACGGCCAGTCTCTCCCCTTTTGTTCCAAGATTACTGCTTGTTGAATAACTGTCTCTGAAGCTCCACCTTGTTATTAATGCCTCCCTAACTACCAGTCAGAAGTCCATAGGCATTACAATGCAGAAAAGAAGTTCAACAAAAATCGGACGACCGGATGCACAACGAAGGACAGTGTCTAGACCTCAGCTCCTGATGGGCACCCAGAGACATTTTAACATGATAAAATTAACTATGTAAGTTTTCTTCCTTCCTTTATTAAAGTTGATTTTAATTTTTTCTATAACAATACTACATGCTCAAATAATTCATAAAATGCATAAAACAAGGGAAACATATCTCATTTACTCTTTCCCCAAACAACTACTGTTAACACCAAACATTAAAAAGATTATTTTCTGATGCTAGCACTTATCTCCTTTAAATTACTTATAATCTTATAAAACTGAGTCTTCATTTATTCTTCAGTAAATACATTTTGGAAATAGTCTATTATTTGTGTAATTATTTCTTACATGTGCTGTTGCAGGCAGTTTACAGTGACTATAAACTATAATATCTTAAAAAATCTGAATATGCCAGGCAGAATAAAAGGAATAACACAAAAATATAATAACCATATTTTAAAATGATTTATTTTGCTGCCCCCCTTCCTCACAGTGTCTAACAATTCAGAAGTAGTTTTAAAATCAATCTTCAGTTTTCAGTGTCAACTATTGTGAAAATTATCTGACTAAGCTCTTGGTAGGGCTGGGCAAAGCCTAGGAAGAGAAAATCAACACTAACCTCTTTGCTTGGAGAAAATTCAAGAAGAAGATTACATAGCATGGAAGATGCTACTACTAGGATTTCATCTGGTGCATTTTGTAAAACCTAGGAAATTTAAAAAAGGGACACTATTAGTGGTTTGGAAACATGGAGGTGAGATCATAAGAATAAATGAAGGGGAAAAAACAATTTATTTTTCAACCTGATGCCTCATACTAGAGAGCTGGTTATCATTTGATATCCTGTGAGCCTTCACCTATCTATCATCATGACCTAGACCCTCACTACTATCTTGCTGAAGCAGCTACAGGGTGGGGGTTGCTGCATGAAAAAGCAGACAGACACAAGGCAGGGAGGGAGTGCCCTATGTAATTGCTTCGGGGAAAGTTAGCTCATTCTACATCAGGCCATTTATGAAACCACAAAATTGCCCTAGGGCCCAAAACTTTCTGCTGTGTCCCGAGAAGGACTTGTTTGACCAGGAGCACGGATGGATCAAGCACAGGCAGGAAAATGTGAGGAATTGGTTCTCGAGCCTGGAACCACACAGCCCTGGTTCCAACCCTGACTCCTCCACTTATGAGATGTGTGCACTTGAGCACATTCCTTAACCTCTCTGAGCTTTCAAGTTGAGGAATTAAAGAAAATAACACTTCCTTGATAGGACTATTTGGGATAAAATTTGAGACAGTGAATAACAAGGGAAGCGTAATGGCACAGAAGTTAAGAACACACTGTCTGAGCGCAAATTTCAGCTCAACCACTGAAGAGGTATATGACTTCCTTGGCTGTCAAATGGGGATAATAATAGTTCCTTCTTCATAAGGTTATTGTGAGAATCAATACATGCAAAGATTTTAGAATAGTAATTAGCACATAGTAATGGCTATATAAGTAAGTAAGGTTTTTAAAAAGGTAATTTATTGCCATAGTTTTGTTGTAGTTGTTATCAGATACAGGGCAGGTCTAGAGGAAACTGTATGCCACAGACTCTCACTGAACTCAGAAGACAACAGCACGATGACAAATGGTTACCATGAACTATTATCAGAACCAGTTCTCTCTAGATTCTAAGAGAGAAGCCTTCATAAACACTATCACTCATATGTAATAACCACTCCACCAAAAAAATCCTTTGCCTTTGGGAGTCAGATCCAGATAAGGCTTACGATCCCAAAAGGAGTCCTAGAAGATCTAGCTATGCAAATTGGAAATGGAGAAGCACAAAAAATATTACTTAAATACACTATCTGCTTTCTTCAGCTAAATGAAGTCTGAAGTCCCCAAACTAAGAATAAGCGAGAATTATAAAATAGAAGCAGTTCTCCCAAGATACTGTGTTTTAACTTTTCTGTGAACTGTAAGCTCATTGATCAAGGTCAAATCTCCTATATTCTGTATGCTGATCTCTGTCTGCCCCAACCCCCTCTAAGGACCTGCTCACCCTCCCCTTGCCTTTACACGCCCCTCCTACATGGCGCACCCACGCTGTAAGGCCATCCCATTCCAGAAGCCTCCCTGGAGCCTTATAGTCAGAAGTCATTCTATCCTTCTCTGAGCAATCACTGCCATTGTCTGTGGCCTCCCTTAGGGCACTTATTACTGTCCACACTGTTCAAATTCTATATGTAGACAGCCAATCTCCTTTTCTGTTAACAAATTTAATCTTCTGAAGGAATACACTGCATATCTATGGTCTAATTTGCCCTGGCCTGTATCAACTGAATGGCATTGCACAAAATGGGAGCTCAATGCATGTTTTTAAAATAAGAGCAATAATTTTCCAAAATTACACTGCTTAGGATCACTGGTTTAAATAAGTGAATGCATACCAAGGCTTTAAAAAGTTGCTTTGCTTGATATAATTCACGTTTTAAAATATTTATTGTTCTATAGAGACGAATGTGCTTTTATTAAGTTTTCATTTTAAAATAGATAACACTGAATTTTAAACTAAAACAGAAGAGTCTGTGAAATTCTTAAAAGCATTTACTCAGTGTAGTGTAAGATATAACATGTGACATTCAGAAGGTAACAGCTAACACTGACCAAATAGAATTTCACCAAAATATTTTTAAAAATCACAAACAAAAATTTTAATTATTGAATGGCTACTCTCCTGTGGTTTGCCAACCAACAATTAACAACACGGAAAAGCAAAAGAGGAGAAATCAATAGACGTGCAGTCTTTGAAAAGGAACCGAAATATCTAAAATAAATTACTAATCTACTTTTAAGCTTTTAATAGTATCTATACGTTAAATGTGCAACCAAGTAGTAGTTTGATAGTAATTATACCCACATGTACCCAAGTGCACAAAACCCTTCCAGACTGCTCACCAAACCTTTCCCAGGTAGAACTAGTTAGAAACCACATTACTCTGTTTTAAAAAAAATTGATTTGAGAGAGAGACAAAGGGGGAAAGAGAAAAACATCAATATGAGAGAGATACATCAACCGGGTGCCTCCCTTATGTGTCCTAATTGGGAACCGAACCTGTGACCTTCTGGTGCATGGAACGACGCTCCAACCCACTGAACCACACTGGCCAGGGCTCCATTTTTGATTCATATGATAGAGGGGTACTTAGCTGAGCAATCGGAGAAAATGGCTCCAGAAGAAATATTTGAAAGTTATTTTGGGAAACAGAGAACACTAAGAAAATCTTGAATGGACAGAATCAATAAATCAAGATTAAGCTGCCATGAAAAAGGTGCACTCTAAGGACGAGAAAGAGTGGCGACAGGAAAATCACTCAACTGAAGATAGCACTGGTCCAACTCTTACCTGGTTCTCCTGTCGCACCCTCTACTAGTCATGAAGGCACCCTTACACTTCCTGCACACACCATAATGCAATGGTTCTGTTCATGCTCTTCCTCTCTGGCAAATCCTCCCGTCTTCCTTTTGCCTTCGATGCCTATTCCATCTTCTTCCTGCCTGGAGCCTCCCCTGACTGTTTCTACCACACTGATGCCTCTACTGTAACCCTGATGCTTTAAGCTGAAGGTAAAAGTTTTAACGTAAAATAGGTCTGGTAGCCTTTCTATGCCCGAAAGCTTTCTTAGCAAGAAGTGAAAAACAAAACAAAACACAAAACCAAAAATATAAACAAAGATTCTGGTACGTGTATGGTCACTTAAAGAAGAAAAAAATCAAGATGAACCACAGGCCAAGTAGACTCATGCTGCTGTAATATATCAGGAATACATTATTAGCAGCAACCTGATGCATACTCTAAGTCTCAACTTGGATTTAATTGACCTGAACAACATTTTTTTTTGTCCTCAAGGAAAGACCTAAGACCAAAAGAAGTTATTTTGGAGAAGAGAAGTGGGAGGCAACAATGGTGTCAGAAAATATGAAGGGAGTGCCAAAAGACTAAGACAGATTATACCTGTAAATGGCCGATTCCTTTTCTTTTATAACAATTACAAAGATAACTCTTGATATAAGTCCAAAGTTTCATACTAAACTCATAGGGAGATCAGATGAGTAACTTAAAAGAAAACTAGGCATGTACTTCCCTGTCTGTCACACATGAGATGCTGAGCTCAGAAACACATTCTGCATTTCTAAAGATGCTTGGAACATGACATCTGAGGAGACAACTGCTCAAAATGCTCACACAAGGATCACACATACTCCTAGACCAGGGAATGCTGTCAGCTACCTTGGCTCAGTAAGGGCCCTGTAGGAGCGGGGGTTACCTGCTGAACCTTTCTTTCCTTACCTTCATTAAAGGTTTCCACACAGCGTGATCCTGGAAACTGGTTCGAAGCTGCTGCACAGATCTAGATAAACTGTGCAAACATCTACAAAGAATAATCAAAATTAGCTTCACAAGAAGCTGAAACTTACACTTTTCAATCACACTGCTTGGCATTTCACAAGTACTAATACACCACTTCAAGTATAGCCACAGACATTATTAATTCAACTACTTCAGAACACTTCGTGGGCTTTTCAGGCTAGCTTCTGTTTCAAAGGTCACGCACTGAGTTCACCTGAGTAGACTTTTGAGTCACACCTGGATTCTGTGCTTACTTGGTGAAGGTCCAGAAAGGAAACAGGTTAAACATATGGCAAGGGATTTTTATTCAGACCATTTAAAGCTCATACCTGACAGCAGCTAACCGCACCTTGACACTAGACTCAGACAAGCCAGTCACAATTCGGTCCATCATATTTTCAGTCTCAATGATCTGGAGAAAAAGGTTAATGCTGCATAAATAACAACACAAAGATGACAAACTTCACTGCTTGTAAATGCAAGTAGGCTAACGTCATTCAAAATTTAATGTTGTTTTTAGCGGGAGTTTTTACCTCTGGAATCGTCATTTTGTGGTGGGGGCAGGCATCTCATCAGAAAAGTGGGGCTACCCCTAGGACCTGTCAGGCTGAATGACAGGCGTGAGGGGCAGATTATGTATGATTATTTTAAAAAACACTTAAAACAATAATTACATGGCATGAATAGCTCAGAGGTGTTGCACAAACAGTCTTGAGAAAGAGTGCAAGATACAACTGAACTGCCATTGGACAGGTTCTTGCCAGAGAGAGATTATAGGAAAATTATGGTGCATACTCAGCCCTTAGGAAATGAAATCTGTGGGTTTCTGACAGAGCCACCCTCTGGCTACTTTCTCACCAAGCAAATTGAAACTAAGTTAAATATTTAGAAAAGTAACCCTTGCCATTTTTTTTATTGTAGCACCAAGCCCTGCTACATGTAATCACTATAATCATGGAGATTTTTTTTTTAATTTAAAAAGAAGGTAGCCTACAATGTTCCTTCATCAAGCAATAATGTATAGATACAAAATAGTGTGGGGGAAGAAATTAAGTTTAACGTGTGTGGTCCTATGGAAAAATAGCAAATTATAAAAAATGCTAATGCAATCACAAAACAATGAACAAAACTAATATTTGTCTTTGTGCCAGGTGTGGTGTGATTAAGTATGTTACATTATCTGATTTAACCCTTTTGTGGGCACTACTGTAATTAACCCTATTATCATATGAAGAAATTGAGGATTTAGATAATACACAGCTTGTCTGGAATCACAGAGTTGAGAATGGAACCCAGGCTTCTGATTCCAGAGTCCTTATGCTTAGCCATGCTTACACTATGGCCCTGGTTAGAGAGCAGTCCTGTGGTCATCAGGCAGTTCCCAGTATGCGCAATACATTAATAGGAGGCATTGATTCCCTGGGAAGATAACCTGGGGAGCTTAAAAAAAAAAAATCCCAGGCCAATTAAATCAGATTCTCTGGGATGGGGCCCAGGCACCTGTATTATTATTTTTTAAAGCTCCTCAGGTAAAGTCCAGTGTGCTGCCAAGGTCGAGGATCACTGACTTAGACTAAAATAAAAGGAGTTAGAAGGCTGACATCAGAGTGGGGGTGAGGGGAAATCTCAGGATGTTCAAATCAAATGCGAAGAGAAAAAAAAATAGAGTTGAAATGAAGAGTGATGGGGAGAAAAGCATAAACTATTAAGTACAGGGAGCCACACTGTAGCTATAGGGTAATAATAGTAATTTTTCTATAATGATATGCAGGTTCCTAAGTGGCTGAAGAAAACTTATGCTACATTGAGCTACTTCTCACCCAAGACCGAACTTAATCTCACCCTTACCTTTTTGCACATCCACCCTGTCCTCATCGTCACTTCTGGACCCCGAATGCCTCCCTTTCTCACTGCTGACTCTTCCATTCGCATATATCTTTCTCCATGACCTGGGTTTCTTGCTCAGATCCTCCACTTATAGGCAAATGCCTTCTTTTCACTGTCCTCCCACCACATATTCCTGTTTCACATCCCAAACAGCTGATACTACAGTAGAAACCCCCCAGATCTGGCTGCCTGGCCTCTTGTATGCTGCCCCATCTCGGCGCCCCCTCGCTCTGCTCCACCTGCGGGAGATTCCCATATTCCCCAGGGTGTTCACCTCCTCCTTCAAATTCTTCCTCCCTCCCTCAGTCCCTCTGTGCCCACCTTATTTTTGCAGGGACATGGCTTTCTTTCTGGGACACAGGTTGTCTCAACTTCCTTCTTCTCATTAAAATGTCTCCATATTTTTCTTCTTCATTCTTGTTACACTGAAGTTGGGTGCTTCAAGCTCAAAGCCCTTGCACCTTGATCCAGAAATGACCTTCCCACGCCTCTGTCTTACATCTTCACTCTGCCCCACCCCACTGGCCTGTGCCACTGCCCACTTTTACCCCGATGTAAAAGACATAAATGTCCTGACTGTAGTATCTTTAAGTTCTAGTCCTCTCCCCTACCATTCTCTAAATGGACACATGATCCAAGGCTCCATTAATCTCTCACTCTACCTATGAGATGTTGTGACTTCAAAATCAGCTTGATATGGATAGTTCTCTGAATTTTAATCTAAAATTCTGCCCTACATTCTTTCCTGACCTCAAACTCTGTATTTCCAACTGCCTGCTAAACATAATCTGGATGTTTGGTGTTAACTCACTATGTCCCATTCTGGGTTTATCTTCTCTCCCTAAACCTTCACTTTCCCCATGGGTCTGTTTGTCTCTCTCTCTGATAATGGTGCTATCATTCTCTCAACCACGCAGATACTAAAACTATGTTAATTCTGATTCCATCTCTTCCTGAACACCCAGTCAAGTGCCTGGATGGAATGTATTAATTCCATCACCATTCTCACTCCAATAAACTAGTTAGAAATGTATTACTATTTCCTTGGGGTAACAGTAATGCGTTTTCCATGTTATCTAATGTTCTGTGCTACAGCAGCTGTCAAAGACTGGATGGCTGACAGTTGACTTCAATCAAGCACTGATCACTGTTTTTGAAACAGCCAAGGCTGTATCAGGACCCAGCGTGGAAAGGAAACTAAAACCTGGGGCAAGTGTCTCAGACACTGGATGGCTCGATACTGAAGCCTGAAAGCGCCTTCCTAGTGGTTTGGGAAATGATTTTTACTTAGAAATGAGAAGTGATGAGTTGGGAGAACTGGCCACATTCAACTAAAGATGTAAATCTGCCAAGGAACAGGGTAGGTGTAGCCATCATGTAGGATATAAGATGTGCTCTAGGATACTGAGCAGCTCTCTTCACCTCTCTGGGTCTCCTGTGAAATGGAAGGATATATTTTATAGCAATGATTATTTTACCTCCAATCCTCTGTAATATGTAGGTAAATAAAAATGATAGTCTGAGCAAAACTATCATGTTTTTCAGAAGCAACATGGGAAGGTCTTAGAAGAGACCAGAGATAATGCAGGTGTAGTTAGACAGGGGGTCAAAATCAAAATCACACAGAGGGCAAGGAAGGGCAAATGGGGCACAGCTCCTACCTCCATGCCTGTTTGTTTATTCAGCTAGTATCTGAGCAACCACTGAGTGTGAGGCATGGTTTCAAAACCTGAAGATACAATGGTGAGGGAGAGAGCCCGTGCTCCCAACAAACTTCCACACTGAGTGAACATCTGCAATGACCTGTTTCGTGAGTGCTGGAGCACCTGGTTCTCTGCTAGCAAGAGCACTTTAGGAATGACAGGTGCCATGGGGCTTACGGCAGACAGAGTGCAGCGTCTATAAAGGGTAGTAAGTAGGAAAACATCCACCCTCAAGAGTTGGAGTTTTACTAACAGTTGGTAAAAAACCATTCGTGGCCTTACCAGAGAATGTTCCGTCCAGCCAGAGGAGAGGAGAGAACTATGTTAGAAGCCAGTAATGGCCACATTAGAGCAGAGCTGTGTGCTTGCCAGTTCTCTGGGGCTGTGGTGGCCAATACTGTGGGGATGAAGCATAGGCTACAAAACAGTAGTACTATCTAGAGGTATGTTTCCTTCAGGTACAAGGTAACCCACCTTAAGTCATAGTCTATCAGTGTCTACAGCAGGAGGCCTGGATTTGTAACGAACTTGCTATAGAGGGACTCAAGTAACTCTGCTAGGGTTACACTATTTGAGTGTCTTCTGGCCTACCTTTTCCACTGAGGTATCAGTCTGGCAGCAAGAGAATAAATGTATGGAAAATCAGAATGTGAACGCAGCGTTCCGATCTAAAAGGGTGTCTTGAGAGGCCATGTGAATGAGCAACATGATCTAACTGTGGCTGTATATGCTTGAGGACAGAGACCATCTGAGCAGGGACGAAAGGAGCATTATAAAGTGTATACACAGACTGAAATGAGGATAAAAGTGTGATTATAAGACAGGGAAAAGTTTGGAATTGAGTTCAGAGAGATTTTTCAGGTCAGCAGGGAAGGAGCTGGCAGTGGCTGCTATCACAGCACTTTGACTCACATGCTAGTCTATCTGAGCACTGGATTGCTTTTCAGATCTGGGGTAGGAAAGCCAAGAGCAATATACTAGTGTCTCCATGGTGTCTTTCCATGACCCCAGTCCTGTGTTACACAGACTTGATAATGATGGAGAGTCAAGTCCTAGTGCCTGCAAAGGATCTCAGGTCCTTCTAGGATGTAAGAGCCATGCCAAATGGAGCCAGAAGTTGTTCTTTGTCTCATTCATGGTTCTTATTGGAGATTTCTCAGCCACAGCTCAGCATATATGCCCTGCAGCACAGCTTTTTGGATCTGGTGTGTGTGAGAGAGTGTGTGTGTGTGTGTGTGTGTGTGAGTGTGAGAGAGAGAGAGAGAGAGAGAGAGAGAGAGAGAGAGAGAAAGAGAGAGAGACCGACCCTCTATCACAGGACATTTCTTCATGACTACATGCTTTTGCTAAGCTTTCTGTCTCTGATATTGCAGCTCTTGCAGGGCATATGAGGATTTATTGGGATGGAGTCTAAGGCTCTGTCACTGGGAGAGATTCCCATGGCCTGTGGGAGAGGTAATGGAGAAAATGCAAAACCTAGATAATCCTAAGGCAGAGAGGTTCATTGCATACCTGGGAATACTAACAAGATGGCCTTGGCTTATGAGGGGAATTCCCCAACGTCCCATGAGCTGTAGTGGACCCATAACTTAGCTGTGACCAAATCATACACCATCCTTTCCTCAGAGCATAAGAAGAACTAAAAGAGTCAGAGATATGGCCTTCAAAAAAATAAACCCAACTATTCTTCCAGCATGACCTAAGATAAAGTATTTTCCAGGTACTAGAAACTTCAGCTTGGACTTTGAACTGTGATAAAACCAAGTCAAGCAGAGGATGTGAAAAGTGAAACCAGACAGGTTTCTTAGTGGTGCCACCAAAC